TGATTGCACCTGACTCCTGAGGATAGCATGACCCCAATTCCAATAGTACATGCGTCTTACGATGCTTGAATCTCGCCACTAACCTGATAGAGATCAGGTGATTGCACATTGTGCTTAATGTGAGTTTTACTTCCACCTAATTCCTGCATTTGCAATATCTGTTCAAGGATGAAAAAACACTTTACTTCTTTACCCTCCAAATCGACAATGCGGAGATAATACGGACTTTCCTTCCCGGTTGGTCTGCTACTTGCCAGTATATCTTGCTGAGAACTCATATATTGCAATGCATATTTACTATGTTTTTGTTTTGAACAATTCACTAATATTGTTCTCAGTCTAGTTCCAACCACCAACCACGATACATAAAAGGATATCGCTCGTTGTAATGGCGAATTGATCAAGTGACGAAAAATTTTCGGATGTAAACTCACAGACCTGTTCTGAATGCGCAAAACCGTGTAGAGATTTCCGTTGCCTTCCTTCTGATGATCAATTCGCCATTACACCTGTGTGTTGTCTGGATATATAGTTGTGGAATACTGGAATGGATGATTTTTTTTTTTCTCTTAATACTTAATACATGTCTCCTGCAGCTTATAGTTAGCCAATTCGTACATTCGTACTCCGTACCTGAATTATGCCTGATAAACCTAAACTAAGCCACATCACAATTCGGTGAAGTCTTACAAAGTTTATAATGGCTGCCAACCCTAGGAAACCAGTTAGTAAGTGGGCCCATCTCTTAAAACCAACGCCGGTGAAATCATGTGGAGTACAGATTGAGTGCAGACTACATATGTAAAGGTAGGGGAGGTTTGAGCGGTCTCGGGGGTTTCCATTTTCCAAACTCAAGCATCTTGGTCTGCAAACCTTCCCTGGGCTCGTCTCCTTTCTCCTATAGCACTAAAAATCCAAGATTGTCTCATCATGGGGTCTGGTGCAGTACACCAAGCCTATGCGGTTATGGTCCCATTCATCCCTGCGAGGGTGTTACGACTCGGGGCACGGGATATTTGAAGTGCTCCCCCATCAGGAGCATGAGCCCCCAACAAGAACTGGGATTGTGCCAGGGAGAACTGGTTGAACATACCGCCGCTATCTGTCATTTCTAAGAGGCTCAAGTCTAGCGGCAAGCTGATAGAACAACAGGTAACAGATTCTCGCGATGTGCTCAAGGTTTGTATTTACCCTAACAAGAGTAGTCGGTTGCATCCATGACCTCTGTCATTAACGACGCTTTTATAATCTGATTTATCTGGCTCAAAATGATATGAAGGGGATATTGCATGGGAAGGTAACACCTCGATGTCTTTTTTGACATATTTTTCGACATATTTTTAGATATCTCTTTCTGTTTCTATCTATAATTGGGTGGTCCTGACGGGTCAGGGGTGGTTTGGCGGAAGAGCTGGAGCTATGGGCTTTGTATGTTGATTATAGTTATTTGGAATATGTTTCTTTTCTATTAGCAAGTATCTACCTCCTAGGTATATATTTAATCATCGTGGACATGAATTAATGCATAGCAAAACAACTGTGCAGCCTGTAATATTTCCTCATTAGCAATGAATGCGAACGAGATGAGATCATTTCAGTGCACAAGAAAAGAGAGCTTCGCACGGTCGTGAAGTATGCTCAGTATATCTTCTCGGGGTATGAATAAATGAACGGCTTTCGAGGTGTATGCAAAATCCAGACGTCGGGGTTGTAGTCAACTTGTTCCATTGAATTTTGATATTCCGAGTTTCTGGGAAATGAGACATTCGACAAAGTTAAGGCTTCTTTTGGCCAGTAATCCGAAACAACCTTTTCAAATGCGACTCAAGGGCTAGCAAGTTCCTTCCCACCCAAAAAGGGAGGGTTTTCATAAGCTGACAGCACTCTCTTCCATTGAGGGTCATCTGGGCTTTGGCCGGTGCCCAAATTGATCCACCTGGTAATGACTAGAGCCAAATCCCGTGAATTGAACTCGATTAGTTCGATATGATAATCAGTGCGGCATACTTCACAACAGTTCGAGGAAACACTGTATGTTGGGTTTATTCCACTCTCCGAATGAGCCTTGACCAAGTCGGTGATTGAATTCAGAATATCCGAATGTAATATATGTTCGCAAATCCATAAAAAGTCAAAATTAATGGACAATATTCTCGAAGGGTCAATGAGATACACCTCGTCAAGTTCTACCAACACCATGTCTTGAACGCGTAGACAAAGGCGCGGTACCCTATACGATGTTGCCGAGTCTCTCGGTAACGATGGGCCTGTGCTTGTCCCATCCACAGAGCATACACATGCCTCAATCGATACTAGCGTGTTGGTATCGCCGTATTCCTTCACCTGGGTGTATGCCAGTGCCTCAGAAGTCATACCAGACTTCAGGCTGTCGAAGGAACGGCGCATCACAATCTGCACATGTAGAAAGTAGAGATTGTAGTAACTATGAAAAAAACTTCCATGTATCGTCACTTGGAGCCCTGGCGTTGCCCACTTCATGTTTCGCACACAAGGAAGTGAGTGATCCGAGTCGAGCCGCGGGTTTGATAGCTTGTAACATTCCGACCCGTCGTATTTGTGGAGAAGAATGCAACAATATCAAATGAAATGATTCGGTAGATCACGCTCCAGTCTCTGAAGAAATGACAGCTTGCCTCTTCCTTCAGGTAATTTGATATGGCTTGTTTGACGATCAAGAGCCACAAAGGTGCGGGAGCTACACAACGCGAGACAAAAAATATCTTCAGGAATGAGAAAGTCCGATATTGACAACAAAATCTCAACCGGTAGCCGCTCTAGCAACGTCAGCCCTTTTGTCTGGGGCTGCTCCGTTATTTCAGCGTGATTTGTCACTGTTTCCTCGAGCTCTACGGCCTGGATCAGCCAAAAGTTTCTGCCAAGTGGGCTGAAAGAAATCCCATTATGGCGAGACGGGTGCTTGGCTTAGCACTACTTCCAGAGTGTGGTCAAAGACAGTTAGCGAATATCCAATCTGGCGGTTGAATACGTCGAATCAACGTGAGTGGTTTATGTTGCTTATTCTTAAACCTCAAGTAACCTAAGTAACCTAAGTAACCTAAGTAAAGGGATGAAATAGGTAAAAGTCTTGCTTAGGAGAGCTAGTGAGGTCATATAGAAATGATCCAAACCACAATAGGACGTCGGAATCTTCCAAGGTTGGAGTGCCTGGAGACTAACGTAACATCCCTATTACGGCATAGTAGTGATTTCAACCCTGGAAGGTTCCTAGGTTTCAGCATGTGCTTACATGTACATCCCTTGTGCCTACCTAGGTACCTGCCTATTTTACATACAACATCCATGGATGGACCTCGGGATGGATGTATGTATGTATACCTACATGTATGTAGTAATGTAAATTGAGTTGTCACTAGGGTTGCTGCTTGCGTTCGAATCAAAGCCTACGAGAGGGTGGACCCTCAAACATTCAAATTATGTATAAGATGGTATGATAATAGAGCTGTAACAAGATTGTGATGTAAGACCGAAGGAATGTATAGCCTACCTAGAGGTGTGCAAGTGAACAAAACGATGATAAACGGGTCCAGGTTATTACACATATGTTGCTAATAGTTCAGCCGCTGATTCGAATATGGTAAGAACCATTCAAGATGGGAAAGAACGGGAGAAGACCTAACGTGAGTGTGTTGAGTATACATATGAACTTCACGTATAACCTGCTTCAACCTTTGAATACTATGAACTATACCTATACCACCTCACTATGACCATGCGTAGCCACCAAGGCGGCACCAGATGTGGTGAAAAAAAAGAGGAGAACTCCCGGGGCCGGTACGCAAGGGCTTTGGCCAACTTGAGCAAAGACGTGGATGGCCTGAAATTGGAAGACGTTCTTTCGTCGTGGCTGTTTATAAGAAGGAAAGAAGGGGCGCACACTAATAGCGCTGATGTGTGTATATATTGTATTGTATATGGGCTATATTTTATCAAACTGGATTGACCTACATACATACCGACCAATAGGCGTAAATAACTCAACATGTAGGGAAGAAATGATGTGCACTGAAGTTTTTCTACGCTCAAAGATCCTTTCTGAGGTCTTTTTCAAAGTATACGAAGGCGATAAAAAGCATAAACTGTGCCGAGGACTTTTCTATGTAGCCTTTGGATCAAATCTAGGCGGCTAGAAGACTCCAGCCCAGGAGATCTAGTCTACATGAAGTATGGCCAACCGACACATGAAATACATGATAACATTAGTCCCCAACTAAGGTGCCGCATTGATGATGGGTGCCTCTCTCCCCAGTATGTTAGCTGTTGTTTAGGCGAAACGCCCATGGTAGCTGGGAAGGTTATGAGTGATAGTTTCAATCATCCTTTATGAAACACTTTTATATACCTAGTTATCCATGTGTCGAGTTGGTCTCCAACGTAGATAGGACTTTAGGCACGGAGGTAAACCGGTGATTTGAATACAGACTTGGTCATCTCACAGGGTACACCGTACATGTAGTGTCGTCATAGTTCAGTTCGAAGCTGGCCTTAATCCTTTAAATACAGTCCTGTCATAATCCATACTATATGGCTGGATAGATCTATATTAGAGATGTCAAACTCGTTCAATCCCTAGATGTTGTGGTCAAGAAACTGAAGATTGACTAGAAGTACCTTTTGTATGGGCTTCCCATATAAAATATACCTTTTCCCGTCAGCCGCGGTGGAGACGAAGCGGTCCTATGATTCTAGAAAGTGAACCGCACGTGGAGTGGAGAAGTACACATAAGTCTGAAAGGTTTGAGACCAATGTTCTTTTTCTATATAACACACGTAGAAAAGGTACTTAATAAAATGCCAGGAACCTAGGTTGCGGCGGCGAATGCTGTGTAGAAAATATACAATCACGTGACCTAACATTTCTCCCTCGTAGGGCCCGTAGGGACCCTGCGCCACTCGCGACTTGGTGCACATATCTACTAATCTCGGTGATATCACATAAAGCTCCGGTGACAGTGTCCCGGATGTATTCGTCAATTCAAAAAGCCCGGCTGTCGGTTGCACGCCCTTGTCGATTTGTTGCTCGCCGACGCTATTCCGCACCGCTGTCCGCGCGACGATTCCATCTGTCACGAACATGGCTCGCATCACCGTCCCAAGACCCTCACGATGCCAAGTCTACGGCGCCAGGGAATGTTGTAGAAGACCCTTCCCTCAAAACTGAGAACATCTCGGACAATGGCACGCCGGCAACATCTCCCTCCCCCGAGTTGGCCAAGCCGATCACCAAAACCTACGGATCTGCCGTACGCAGAGCGATGCGAAACAGAAAGTCCTCACAGCAGACTTCCACGTCAACGGCGACCGTCCCCGCGTGGTTCTATGAGCACAATAAGGTGTCTCACAGCAGCGAAGACCGCTCTGCGCAATCACCACAACAGGTTCAGATAACAAAGTCACGGTCAAAGGAGCTGAAGGAGGTTCAGACTGAGAGTCAAGCTTCCGGGGGAGATTCCGATCCATCTGCGTCTAGTGAACCACCCACAGTGCCGGAGAATCGGTATGCGGTGGCCGAGGAATCATGGGAAGAGTTGCGGGCCTCCGCCAAAGCAGGGTTACGGTTACCGGCTGCGAAATATGCCAAAGAGCCTTCGGTGAAGAAATCGCATCTGGCGCTGCACTATCCGGGTAGTGATGGAATACCATTCCTAGACGCGGTGGTGAAGAAGCTTGCCCATGAGTTGGGCACTGACCTGGTAACTCTTAATGCTCAGGACATTGCACAATTGTTTAGCGAGCAAGACCTTGCAGATGTCGGGGTAACATCGCCAATTCGATCACTTGGCTATGATGTATATCGGCAATCCGTCCCAAGTTCATGGTCGGAACTTGAAGACCCTGAAGGTGACGGCGAGGATGACGTGACTGAACTCGCAGGTGGTCCCCGTGGTATGCGCGGCGATATTAGCACCCCTCGGTTCATTACAATTGAGAGCAGCAAAGAGGCGGGTGATATCCCGCTTCCCAACTGGCTTGGGCTGAAAACTCTCCTGGGGGGATCGATCAATGGCCAAACGGATCCGGATCCTGGGGCCGGGGCCTCACGCAGTGGTCAGCGCGCCGAAACTCGGTGGATTCAACTTATCAACGAGCTCCTCGGTTCACCAGGTCAACCAGCACTGCCAGTCCCCATTGAAACAACAGAAATTACCGAAACGAAAGCCACCAAGGCTTTGCCAACTCGAGATGTCATTATGCATATCCAAGACTACCGTGACATTCAAAACACCCGAGAGGGGTCCAAATTTATCACACTCCTGCACAAGGTCATCCAAGATCGGAGAGCGGCAGGGTCCAAGATTCTGTTGATTGGAACTACGTCACAGGAGATCCACCACTCGCCCTCACAAGATGGTGCTGGTCTGCTACAAAATGTTCTCGATGATCAGTTCTCAAAGACCTTGTTGATTACCCCTGCCATGAGCTCGAAAGACGCCGAAAAGGTCTTCGCGGAAGACCGAAAGAAGCGCACCATGGATATCAATATTCGCCACCTGCAGAGTATGCTTCGCTTCCGATTACATGAACAGGCCCTTCCTGTAAAGGATAACATCTTGAGCGATCGTGCTTGGCCGTTGGAACCTTCAACCATCAAAGAATCAGGAATCGAGGACCGGTACTGGTCATACAATCAAGTGCATTGGATTTCTACCCTTGCACTTGGCTGCGCTGAAGCTAATGAGCCTCTCGGATTTGAGCACATCCGACGCGGACTCGAGCTCATGGATAAAAGCGACCGAGTCACCAATGAATGGCTGAAAGAGAAGTCACCTAAGCAGAAAGATTCAGAAGCAGGGCAGACCAGAGAGCAGCTGATCAGTTCTTTGCGCAAAACGTGCAATACACACGAGAAAAAGCTGCTCAACGGTGTAGTGGACGCAAAAAGTATCCGAACCACATTCAACGATGTGCATGTACCCCCTGAGACTATCGACGCCCTGAAGACCCTGACTTCCCTTTCACTCATCCGCCCCGAGGCATTCACATATGGTGTCCTCGCCACCGACAAGATTCCCGGCCTTCTCTTATACGGACCCCCGGCACCGGTAAGACGCTCCTCGCCAAGGCCGTAGCCCGCGAGAGCGGAGCAACAGTCCTCGAAGTAAGCGGGTCTGAAGTGTACGACATGTACGTGGGCGAAGGCGAGAAGAACGTGAAAGCGATCTTCACGCTCGCCAAGAAGCTCAGCCCCTGCGTTGTCTTTATCGACGAAGCAGATGCCATCTTCTGCTCACGCACCGGAGCCAGCAGCCGCACCTCCCACCGCGAACTTATTAACCAGTTTTTGCGCGAGTGGGACGGCATGAACGACCTCTCGGCATTCATAATGGTCGCCACAAACCGACCCTTCGATCTGGACGACGCTGTTCTCCGCCGTCTTCCCCGTCGTCTCCTGGTCGATCTACCAACCGAGCAAGACCGTGAAGCAGTCTTGAAAATCCACCTGAAAGAAGAACAGCTCGAGCCCTCCGTCGACCTTGCTGAACTTGCCCGACGCACGCCACTGTATTCTGGTTCCGATTTGAAGAATCTGTCGGTGGCGGCTGCACTGGCTTGTGTTCGCGAGGAGAATGACGCAGCGGCTAAGCACACTGGTGACGAGCCATATGCCTACCCGGAGCGCCGCATTCTGACTCGCGCGCATTTCGAGCGTGGAATGGAAGAAATCAGCGCTTCGATTAGTGAGGATATGTCTTCGCTATCGGCGATTCGGAAGTTCGACGAGCAGTACGGTGATCGGAAGGGTCGTCGCCAGAAGAGCCCTGGATGGGGATTCATTCCTGGTGCTAGCGGTGATGCTTCAGCTGATTCGGCGCGTGTTCGGACGTGATTTTTTTGTTTCTTGCGAGGTTTCTCGCCGGCTTGTATACTGGGTTATTTTACGTGGATTGGGGGAAATTGGGAGTTTCCCTGTGTACTTTTAGCGATATGATAGACCTGTACCATTACTCAATTGTATATACTGCCACCTGTTTCTTGGGCAATACAATTTGCATCATTTCCTATTTAGATGTTTCAAGTCGGGTTTCGTAGTGGTTTTGCATCGTAGATGTGAAGGATCTCATATCTAGCCTTGTCTATACTGGCTAACTAGTACCTAACTAGCTATATCTGCTTATAATAGATTTCTAGCTGTAAACACAGCATATTTCAGTGCTTATTGTATAAGGTCAGTTGGAGTTAATCACTTGGAATACCCTGTAGCCTTTCCAATTGGAGTTTGCCCAGTGAAGCAATGCTGATAGAGCCGCAGACAGAGACAATTTGTGTTGCACATTCGTCAGATTGTACATGACAAAGGCTTCTGTCTTTCTTTGTTCCTTTACGATATAGAAGGTCAGAGGCAGCATGTAAAGAAACACACGGAATTCTTGTAGGATGGAGACATAAGGCGAGAAAAGTAGCTAATTGCTCTCCTTCCCCCTTTACTTCCCATCCACCACAATAGAGGATTCACTCCACTCGCTCTATCTATTAGAGCTGCATTCATCCTTCTTTTACAGGGTACTAGTTACCAGACTCCAATATGTCGGTAAGTAGATCCGCTACAAGCAGTGGATACAAGTACTAACGCCTTGTAGAATCGATCGGGGTATTTCTACATTCTCAACAAACCCATTTACGAAGAACATGTCAACTAACTGATATACATCAGTATACCCGTTGCAGAGGAATGCATCTCTGCATTCAACGAGCTCCGATCAGGACCAGAAGCTACCAGACCCAAGTTCATCATCTGCAAGATCTCTGACGACAAGAAGAGCATTGTACTCGAGGAGACATCCACAGAGAAAGATTGGGACCTTTTTCGCATGAAGCTATATGAGGCAGGTGACGAAGATGGGGACCCGGCTCCACGGTATGCCATCTACGACATGGAGTATGATCTTGGGAGCGAAGGGAAGCAGTAAGACACCACTCCCATGACTTGACGAGTGCAGTGGAATGTTTTTCGCTTATATTAGTCCCTGGCTGTGTAGGACCACGACTGTTCTCATCGAATGGAGCCCTTCCTGCGCGCCTCTCAAGGTGATTTGTCTTTCAAACTCGTGTGTCCATTGGCGTGGCTATGAAGTGCTGACTGTATTGTAGATGATCTTGCTCTATCTTAACAATAGGCAGCAATTGACCACACCTTTCGATCTCAAAGTATCAATTGATGCAGACTGCGTGATGGACCTCGAATGGGCGGTTGTCGTGGAGCAGGTCCGTGAGGATGTCAGTGAGCTGGGGATGGGGAAATGATCGGCGTTGCTCAAGTACTGCGCATGAAGAGGGATTGTTTCTTTACAACAAGGTAATAAAGTTGACATGGCAGATGAGGAATTTGATATGAAATCTTGATTTTGAACTAGTCTTTAAATTGTGCTCAATTGAATTTCTTGATATGTCTCGAGGGTAAATGGGAAATTGCATGATGCCAATACCACATCTAGACCTTCATCTTAGCCAGCTTCCAAGGTTGGTATAGCGCGAGTCATTGGATGAACAGCACCACTTGGCGTTGCGCCACTCCATGTGTTGGGCTGGATAGGCGAGGCCTCTCTCTCTCTTTTTTAATTGCTTTGAATCACTTTGTGTTCCCGATTGTAAGATTATACAAGATCGGAGTTTTTAGACCAAGCAACGAGTGATTCAGAAATGCCCAAATCAAACTAGATAGATGAATGATGAAAGATGTGTATCGCAAAATGAAAAATGAAAAATGAAAACCAGAAAGTTGAGGCTATCTCCGCATCCGGGCACGTGCCATATGACATGAGTCTGATCATCCCGCCACATGACTTTACAAAAAGGCCGTTTCTTCTTTGGAATTTCCCTAATTTTGCAATCATTTTATTAGAGAACAGTGCGCGGGAAACCCTGCGGGCAGGAAAACCTTGCTTCACAGCTCCCCACTTTCTCACCCGAGCAACTCCCCACCTCCACAGATCGCGAAAATGATGGCCACCGGGTCTAGGGATGCCTCAGTTCGTGAGGCCAAAGTCTTCGTCAAGGAAGTTGTACGAAATGACTGGGATTTCGACGCTGGAGTTCCCTCCCCATGTTCCGCTGATGGCACCCTTTGCCACAACCGCGAAGTTTGCGAATGGCGAGTCCGAGAATTCGATACTCCAACCTCGGAACTCGAACCCCAGAGCTCAGATAGCGAGCAAGAATATGATCCGTCAGCCGTGCTGAAGCTCGCCCCCGGAGACGCGGGCATCGAGCGCCGCCGCAAACGCCGTCGACAAATGGATGACGAAATGGCATGGAACGAAGGGCTACGCCTATGGATGGCCAGACGCGATGCGTGGTGTGGCGCGAAGACTCGGCGGCAAATTCGGGCGGAGGAGGAAAAGCGCAAGGTGACCGGTGCACAGACGGATACAACAGATCAGTCCGATGGTGTGGAGCTGGGAGAAAATGACGCGACTTCGTCTGGGTCATCCCAATCTGCAACGCCGGCTGCCCGGGGCAGTGAGGGTATTGGCGCTTCTGATCTGGCGGTCCAGACCGAGACTTCACTTTCCATTGCGGATCGGGAGAAGAGCGAGGAGCTACAGCAACGGGTGGATATGACCTCGGGGCAACAAGAGGATCAGGAGGAAGGATTGTCTACCGCGCCAGATGAGGGGGCTAAACGGAAGGCTTCGTCAGAGACCAACATCACAGAGCCGGATCAGAAAGTTACCGCAAACGTGCCTACTCAACTCACATCCTTCCCGGCTGTCGAAGACCAGACAGAAGAGGAGAAGGTGGAAGAAGAGCTTGATGAACCACTTTGTCCCGTTGCCCCGCCTTTTATTTCAGACGAGAACCCAGTTCGCGCAACCATCAATCCTGCAATTTACCCTTCAATCTACACAAAGGTTGTCGTGCAAGGCATGACCCCCACCATCCCTGTCAACCTCGCCCATTTGACCAAAGCTATGGTTCAAGGGTGGAAATCAGACGGGCAGTGGCCGCCAAAGCCAGCCGTGACATCGATTGTCCTTGCTGATGATGCCTCTGTGCCCAAGAAAAATACAGATCGCTCCGCCGAGGAGGCGCCGCAGGGCAGGAGGAAGAATAGCATTACCAATGCTGTGAAGAAAGTGTTCCATTTTGGATCGCACCCCTTCCATCGCCGCGCCAGCCAGGATACGGGGAATGGAGCCGGGGGTCCGACGGCTTAAGTGGATCCTGCTATCTATCTTGTCGATCATAAGTAATTGCATGGCCATCAATCCAAGTGTGGGTCGGAATGACTTCAACTGGGTTGCTCTGGCTTCATCGGGCGTCTACTCTGGGGGTTTCTATTTATGTTTTCTTGCGTGTTCATAATCTGAACATGCTGGTGTTTGATCTACTTTCTAGCTCTGCGCAATGAAGAAATGATATCTGATGTGTAATTTGGTTCAATCTTACGCAGTACGGAAGTTCTGTTGGCTTCCTTCAACGTTGATAGCTTTGCTTTTGCACCCGGGTACTTCCGGAGGTCTATTCTTAGATCTCATGAAGAAGTTTAGTACTGGTATATTCTATTTTTGTGTCGTTTTTTCTCGTGACTGACAGTGTTATACCTTCTTTTAAACCGGTTCGAACTGACTTATTGTATCTCTAAAGTAACCATTTGGCGAAGGAACAGGTATATTTCAACCTCATGCCAATATGTATACGGACCAGTCTACATATGTACCGATGAGAAAGTGTATTCATGCGCGCCTAAACCAGCCAAAACAGCCGAACAAAGAATTTCCCCCTGATTTAAGCCTTGGGAAATATTGATCACTTCGGGCCTGGCCAAGCCTTGGGGCGTGCGTTCGTGGGTGTTGAGTGCGGGTTCGCCGCTATGCCGGCTTATTTCTCCCATTTTCCACCTGCCACTCCATTAGTGTCTCACTAGCTCCCCACAAAAGCCCCATAGACCTGCCTTTTTTAAGCTCGAAACTAACAAACTTGATAGATGCGTCGCTTGGAATTCCATCTTTTTGACTCGGTGGCCATGTAGCCATGCTGACACACCGGGGAGGCGATATAAGTCCTCTGGCTGCTGGAATGGATTGGGTCCTCTTCGTCGTGTCTTGTTGTGTTCCTCTTTTATACACCGCAAGTTGTGAGTGCTGTCATGATCTGGGGCTCGTTAATCCTCACACTGGCCGCTACTGCGGTGGCTTTGCCTCAACCAGACAAAAATGTCAAGTGCCCTTCGGGAGAGGAACTCGTTCGTTTGATCCGACATGAGAATGAGGGACGCTCGTTCTGCCGGGAGCTGATCCATAGCACTTGTGCTACTGTCACTCACACAACGAATGTGCATCCATGGCCGACTACTGTCAAAGTCACGCATACCATCACGGACTATCCACCCAAAGTGACGAAGACATCGACCAAGGAAGTCATCTCCACAATCATTCGTGCGGTTACCAGTACTGCAACGCAATATGCCACCTCAACTATCACTGTACCTGTGACTGTCACTGGCCACACCGCGGTGACTGTTAAAGATGTCGAGACTGCCCACTTGACTAAGGTGGACTACGAAACGACCACCCGGTCCTTTACGAGCACTTCCACGAGCACCGTCGTCCAAACTATCACTGATAACGTTGTTGCCACTATCACTGCTGTTTCGACCAAGACCGAGACCGACACCAAGACCAACACAATCACTGATTACTTCACTACACTCATCACGGAGTACATCACTCATATTGCGACTGCCTTTGCGAGCAACACATTTGTTGACGTATCGACTACTACTGCCACCAACTATCATACGGAGACCATCATGGTTTCTTTTACCGAAACTGCCACCGCGACGGTTACAGATACTATCTCCTTTACGACCACCCAAGAGGTGGATGTTACCACGACTGAAGTCCAGTTGGTTACTGCTGTCCAAACGGACATGGAAACGGCCACAAATGTGCTCCTCACAACCATGACTAACTATACAACCGCCACTCAGACCACTTTTGTGACTGATGGCACAACCGTGACCGCTGATGTTGTTGTGACGGCGCCTGCTAAGCGCTGGGAAGTTGCTCCAGAGCGACATGCCTTCCACACGCCTTCGCCCCTAAGGACAATACCCGAGCGGGATTTGAGCACTGCTTGCTCTGCTCTGCATCTTGACAAGTGCACTTCGACGATCCTCACTACCAAGATAGACGCGCAGCCCACTGTGACTAGAACTCTGACTACCCATTCTAAGGCGCACAACCCCCAAACTGCCAAGGCCACGAAAACTATCACCAAATACGTCACTCACTTCACCACCAATATTGTGCGCACTCTCTTAGCTAAGGCTGTGACTCGAACTTCTACCGCAAGCATCGTTGCGACCTCAACTATCACGGATATCTCCACAACTACTGCTACGGACACCGCGACGGTTACTGTGACGGATGACTACACTACCACTGCTATCGACGTTGTTACAGCTCTTTTCACAACTGATCTTACATCTTTGACAACGCTCGATGTCACTGCATATGAGAAAGCGGAAATTACACAGGATGTGACTGTCGATGTGACTTCCACTGCTACGACCGACATCACCACAACCCAGGGTACCACCAAGACACTCGATTTCACCGTCAGTCAGATAACCACCGCTACAGCAGATATATCCGCCATTGAAGTCGCATCCACAACAAAGACCGAGACCAAGACAGTCACAGTTTCCATCACCGAAGTAGCAACTATCACATCTACCTCCACAATATCTGCAACAGTCACCTCGCCAACAACGATCCACACCGCTGCCACAACCACCGTAGATTCACTAAGCACGGTCATCACAACCTCTACAGTCGACGTCACCGTCACTCAGACAGTCCTTACCACCACAACCACAACCCTGACATCAACAACCACCCCAGCAACTCCAACTTGCGGCGTGAACCTAGTCCAGAACCCCAACTTTTCCAACGCTGCTCTAAGCCCATGGACGTCTAGTACCAGTGGTAATGGCAAATATGCGTTCGTGTCGGGCTATGACACCACCTACGCAATCCAGCTCTATTCCAGTGCAAGCGGCTCCAGCACTTCCAAAATTATGCAGACATTCAACACTGTTGTCGGCAATACGTACAAATTCTCGAATTACTACAAAGTCATGACGGGGAACACTGCTAGCATCATGACATGCACTTATGGTGAACGTTCTTACAGTGTCAGTCTGGCCTCGTCGGTCAAGAATGTCTGGTTGGCAATGTCGACCAACTACGTTGCAACTTCGTCATCTGTTACTCTGGTTTGTGGTCTGACTTCCCCGATATCAGCCTCCATTGCCTTTACCGACTTTTCTTTTATGTGTTGATTTTCTATACATTTCTGTAATCATTTAACTTATCACTGAGCTCACCACACCACCCCGAATTTCATTTTCTACTATACTCTTATGATCCTCTCATCAATTGCGATTGCGCTGAGCAAAAGGATATAGCAAACTGCCGAGCTACTGCCAATCCTACCAAACTGGATGAATATACAGATATCCAAGACTTTCAAGGCCAGAATTGTGATTGAGATACCGCAGAGCTTTTGCAAATCCCCGGGTCTATATCTAGTGCCTCCATCTGCACCCCGGCTTCCCTTTGAAGGTTGAACCGATTAAATAACCATCCTCACTTTCAATTTATCACCCTGCACAATCTCCTCCTCCCTCGAAAGCAACTCCTCCATATCCCAAGTAACAGAAATATACCGCGCAGCCAACCAGTCCCGCCTCGATTCCGTCAAAAACACAAGCGTATCCGCACAAAGTCTCGGCGTCTCCGTCAACACAACCTGCCTCTCGACAGGCAACCTCTTCCCCATATCAGTCAACACCCCACCGGGATGCACAGCAAAAGTCAAAATACCATCGGGTCCATGATCGGCATCCAGAAATTCAGTCCAGCGCTGGAGCGCAAGCTTACTAGTCTGATACGCCGAACCGCCAGGAGAAAGAAGATGCGCCGCAATGCTACTAAGATTAACAACGATCTTCTCTCCCCCTTCAATATCTGCGGTAGAAACGCCCGTGTAACGAGATACGGTCCCAGGACATTCACATTCCAGGTCCGCCACCACTCTTCCGGATCGCTGTCGGCGATCTTAGCCCGTTTCTCTAGATACCCCGCGTTATTGATCAGGATATCGAGACGCGGGAATGCTTCGTTGACTGTTGCAGCGGCGGCTGTGACGGATTTCTCTTCTGTCACGTCTAACGGCACGACTACTATTTGGGGAACTGGTTTCCCTGCTTCGGATGCTGCCTCGCTGATGGACGCTGCGAGCCTGTCTAGATTGGTTCTTGCTCCAACTGCGATACCGGCGCATCCGGCGCGACTGTAAGATAGTGCTGTTTCTCGGCCGATGCCTTTGGATGCTCCCGTGATGAAGATATACTTGGATGAGAGGTCTCGCTTGGTTGGGTCGATTGCGGGATAAGTGTCATGATGAGAACGGGATGTGAAGTTGATTCCTATAGTATAGTGGGGATTAGGTTAGTTTTCGGTCTGTTTTTAGGTGAGGAGTTGGGAGAAAGTGCTGGTTGATACATACCTGTATGGTCTGCTTGCGCCATGATTGCTAGTCTATACCGAGGAAATAATGGACGGGATGGTGGTAGCTCTTGAGAAATAAGGTGCTGAAGATGTATATCTGAATTTCATCATTCTATAGATTATCGCGATATTTCAGTCCTATCTCAATGGTTTCGGCGTCTTGGTGGGGCTCGTTTCGGGGTTGTCGCGCTTCTTCGGACATAGCAGACGGAGTCCGAACAGCTTCATTTATTATGAGATAAAATCCTTATATAATTAGGGGTACGAAATACTGTACTAATAGACAAAAGAGATTTATATTTTACTGGGGTTTCCAGGTATAGAAAATACTTATTATTGGAGGACTTGATATATCAGGATGTCGGATCCTTGTAGTTGCTGGAAACAAGTATCAACAAAATAAGAAGACGGTGGTGGCTCGAGGCCTTATGTACACGTATAAAACCTTCCCGATTATTGTAGCTTTCATGGCCTATACTATAGTGACAAGACCATTAAAAAAAAAAAAAAATCTAGGAGAATATCTAAGACGCCGAAAGTGACTCCGAAAAGAAATCACCGAAAAGAAAGCCACCGAAAAGACGCCACAAGGCCGCATAATGGCCGAACATTCTTGTGTATAAAAGAAAAAATCGGACAAGATTAATAATGAAACAAAAAAAGCACAGTGGGTATAGAACTAGGTGATAGGCGACATCATAATGTCCTCTCGTTGTTGTCCCCCCAACGGAACAGATCAATCCACGGAAGATCATCGGTAGGCAGGTCATACATATGCGTGACAAAGTCTATCCTGCTATCATTGGGCGACATAAGCTGCACAGCAGCAGCCTTGTGGCTATCGTCCCCGGACAATGTCTCCAAAGCCATGCGCTTGACCCTCCGCAGAGTAACCTTCGCCAACGCCCAACTCGGACTTAATGTCTTGAGCATGCCTATTATAAGTGAGATGCGATCGTGGAACTGGTCCGGAGTGCCATATGCGCCGGCCAAACAACATGCTGACAGCTGTACCAGGACGGCAAAGACAATACCGCAGATGAAAAACGGCGTGTGTTTCTGCACCGGAACTTGCAAGGTAGCAAGGTTAATGATTTGCTTCGAAGCCACCAGGGCTTTGATACCGTGCATCTTCCTATCATATACAGGTAACAGCTGTTGCTGCCGAATAACCTTGCCGGCACCGGGGATGGTTGCCACAAGATCACTCCGCGGGAAATGAAGGTACATGATGCAGAACTGGATAAACATGTGTCCCTGGAAGAGCATCTCGTCCTCGCCATTACACATGTCGGTCTTGGTCGCATCTAGGTGGTGTGGCCACGCCGCAAGGGCGCTATCAATTATCTTGACATGATCCTCATCTAGATCATGCGTCCAGGCAATGGCGAGGACCCTTGCTAGAAGACGCACCGCCCCGATCCGGTAGCTAAATGAGGAGAATATGATCTCTTCATCGGAATAGATCCGTGCGTCGAATTGGGCGAGCGACTGGGGTTCGTTTGTGAACGAGCCTTCCATATAAGAGGACTCATCGCACGGCAAGAGGACGTCGGTATCCGCTGTATGACAGTGGAAGCTGGATTTTCGCTGCAACACCGCCATAAATCCATCTGTCACGTACAGCTCCCACCATGTCCTGCGCATGCTCTCCTCCTCGAGAGCTGATCGCATACCATGTACAATTGGGAAGCTCTTCTTGTGCATGCCTATCTCCAGAGCCAAGGATACGGCTTGTGCGAGGACAGTGGTAGACTCTTGGATTTCATTTCGGGCGTGTATTGCGATTGAGAAGAGTAGTTTCGCTTGCACAAGATGGAATTTGGTAATGGGCGTATCTTCGGCTTCAGCTTTGGAGACTTGGTCCGTCACTAGACCGAAGAGCGTATCGCTAGAGACAGTACTGGAAAATTGACTACCCACAAAATGGACCACTAGCTTGAGATAATCCGGGTAGGCCTGCAATGTATACAGACTGCGAGGTACCAGAATCGGATGAGCCGCATGGAAATTTGCGTAGTACAGATTGACCAATGCCTCATCATCTTCCACAGATGAATGACTTGGTTCTTTCTGCCACTCAACTGATATTGATGTCAAGCCTGGGACTTGATCCTGTCTTGACGGAAGGCTCGGAATACCTCGGGCCATACCGTCTGCGCTGACCGGGACATGGCTAGTTGTAGATGCCATAGGGCCATCCCGGGAAGAGGAGGGCGATGAGATGTGATTGGCAGCAGGACGACCTGCGGCTTCCTCGCTAGGCCTAGCTTCCCATGCAGTTAATGGTGTAGGAGCTCTGGGAGAGTGATTGCTCAGGTCAATAGGCACTGGAAACGTAGGCACCCTATCTGTCGTACGCAAGGGCTGATCAACATGGACTGCCCGCCGCTTCAGGCCCCGCCGAGAAGGGAGATATTGACATTGTGCCCCAGAGGAGATGCAGCGCATGCAATTTGGGATGGACGTATCACACTTGACGTGCTTCCGCCTGCACTCAGTGCAAGCTAGGGGAGCAAGTTTGTCGACTTCGTCGACAGGACTAAGGGTGCGAGGTGCTGGGCGGGGTCCGGGCGCAGATTTTGTTTTGTTGGATTCCATGGAGATCACTTCAACATTCCAAAAGCCATATCAAATCCAACAATTTAACTACACTTAGAAATTGAGAAGAGTCATTCTGAAATGTGGTCCTGTACTTTGGAGGCGAAATATTGGTCGCTGATGGCGTGACGGGAAAAAGTTTACTGGTAGAGAGGGGCGAGACCCAACTCTTATCGGTACTCAAATATTTATAGAAGTTCAACGTTTATATATCAAAGGGTCTGGACTTGAAGCTATCTCTCTCTCGCCTATCTACTAGGTAGTCAATGAGCCAGGTGAGATGTAAGATAATGGTTTCAGCGGAGAAGGTCAGGGTCAGCTCCAGTGTGGCCTGTACTCCCTACTTTCGGACAAAACAAAACCAGGATGGATTCCCATTCTAAGCTAATTTAGAGGGAATCTTGATCAAACCCAGGTCCTTCGCGCCAATGGCATTTTGAAAGGCGCTCTCCACATCGTGTTCACTGATCCATGATGGGTCCGGCCGATTACGCACTCTCTCTTCCAACATCTCATCCGTTTCTATATCACCGTCCTCTAACTTGGGCTTGTGACCAATGACCTGCAGATGCACTGCATTAAGAATCTTTTCGATGTGTGGCTTCCGAGTGGCCTCGTAAAGGCGAAAAACCTCGCCCAGCTGTTCGACCGTGGGCTTCCTCGATTGTGCCACAGCCGCAGGCCAGACGTGGTTGAGGGCAAGAAATAGTGCATACGCATCATCAATCGCCAGTGATCCTCCGGCGGCGAAGGCCCCGCCGTGTGTGTGGGCGGCATCCCCGGCCAAGGTCACACGCTGAGAAAAAGTCCATGTGTCCAGCGCACGCCCAGCCATGTTGGGGAAAAGTCGTGTGTGGGGTGTTACCTCGATTAGCGAGCGGACTGCGGGATGCCAATCCTGTGAATTCCTCGACATGTCAGTCCGGACTTCAGAGAGCACGCATCGACAGCTTGGAGAGGGCTGCGACAGGGTTAGAACACACCTTGTAGAGCTCCCGGAATTTATCCATGCTGTATCCGTCGTCCCATTGCACTGTGTCTGCTGGGTCGTTTGGGTCGGTATGAAGACCCCCGACAACGGTGAACATTCCCTTGCCGACCTTTGAATGAAAGAAGCTTCGATCGGGGCCGATCTGTGGTGAAGAATGAATCGAGCATCAGGTCAGCAGTGCATTCTCGTGTATAGAACGTGAAGTTTTAACGGACCCAGTGGGAGGCATCTTCGGGGAAATTAACGTCTTTCACCAGTGAAGCGTCGAACACAGAGCGCATTGCTGTCCAACCAGTGCGGCGAAGCGTATGACCTGGTACAAAGGTTTTGCGGACATTCTACCCTTTTGATCAGCAAAATATGCAACCTTCCAAGGTTGGCGATGGGGCGTCGCCTCCAGACTTTGCATGAAGCCTTTCTCCTCATGCTGGGAGACTCACCGAGTGTATTCCGTCAGCACCAATGCAGATATCCGCCTTGGCAGTGGTGTGGTCCTCAAAGGTCAAGGTCACTCCCTCTTCGCGATCAGCAACAATGCTGACGGTCTTCTTACCCATGTGAACAATTTCCCGGGGAACATGTTCCAGGAGGGCTTGATGGAGATGTGCACGATGGAATCGCGCCGTGAAATGCTTTTTGGTCTTAACGGTCTTGTGGAGGTCACGAGCGATCACCTCTCCGGTCCGCCAATGCCGATATATCATTGGATAGTCGGATATCTGCCGTGAGCACACGCTGCCATCGATTGCATTCTCGACACCGAGCTTCTCCAATGTCCGGAGCCCATTGGGGCCCAGGCTGATGCTAGCCCCGATCTCTCGGAAGACCTTGGTTCGCTCGTATATTTGAACATTGACTCCCGGGTGCTGCAATAAAGAAATTGCAACACTAAGACCCGCTATGCCACCACCAACAACAGCTACCTGGAGCTTCGGGGACTCGTCAGCACTAGTATCCAAACTGCTAGTTTTGGGTTTGTCGGGAGTGTCGTGCATTGTGAGCTCCTTGTGTGTGTGTGTGTGTGTGTGTGTGTGTGTGTTGTGTGCGTCGTAGGCGTTAATGGGTCGATTGTTGAACTTGATGAACTAGATGGACAATAAAAAGTGGGCGTATACAAGTAATGGAAGGACAAGGACTTATTTCGAGTTTTTCCGTAATTTCTACTAGAAAACTAATAAGGACGCTAATATCGCTTCTATGGGCTTGACTCCGAACGGGGTTCTGTCTGGATATCCGGGGATGATTCCTATCTCGGGATGTCGTTATCGACTGGATATGTCCCGAGGTCAATTCCCGGACATTGGAACATTAGACGGGCTTTGTCTAGAAGGGAAATTGTAGATAGGTGATTAGGTGATTATTAACGTATAAGAAGTCTTTCGAACCTTAATCATCGGTGTCTCTTCGGAGATGCTTGGTTAAAGTTGAAAATAAGATCCCGGCGTGGAGATATTTAAGTAACTGACGCCATATTTATGAAAAATGACAAACTCCGGCATCTATAGTAACTTGAAATCACGACACTGAACACATAGTTACGCCCTCCATCTAGATAGATACATAATACGCAGTGATCAAGACCTTCATCTATAATTTTTTTTTATAATCATTCGAAAACTGAAATATACCGCGGGCTCACAACATCGATGCCGCGTTATCAATCATGGCCTCACAAAAGCAGACATCAACCATTACCACCCAAGATGCGTCCAACATCGCTCTGCAAGAGGAAAAGCCACACATGAAAACGATCACTGCCAACAAAGCCGATGAGACTTTGAGAATCGTCGAAGAGTATGGCAGTGAAACAGCAGCACCGACACCCCAGGAGTTGAAAAAACTGACAAGGAAATTATATTTCCGTCTGATTCTGCTGTTAATTGTCATTGACTTGATGCTTTTTGTATGTTATCACTGAACTAATTACTTTGCAGTAGAAAGTTGCTAATGTATCTCAACAGATCGACAAAGCAACCTTGGGTCAGGCTGTGCTTCTGGGTATTATGGAGGATACCAATCTCACCAATGCCTCATACAATAACCTGAACACAATCTTCTACACAGGTACGTTTAGATCAAGAGATTTGATGCAAGTTTAGTGTACATTTTACTAATACAGCACCCAGGATATATTGTCGGGCAGGCACCGGGACAATTCTTAATTCAGCGCTTCCCCTTAAGCAAATACGTCAGCATATCAATCTTCCTATGGGCAGTGATTGTATTTTGCCACTCAGCTGCAACGAACTACGCAGGCCTTATTCCTCTTCGCTTTTTCTTGGGATTCGTCGAGTCCGCCTTGGTGCCTGCAATGGAAACCACCATGGGCATGTTCTTCACTCCACACGAGCTACACCATATTCAACCCATATTCTGGATATCGTGTGTGGGCTCCAGCGTTCCGGCAGGACTGCTTTCCTACGCTCTGCTTTTCAGCAAGTCCACCGTGAGCCCATGGAAACTCTTCATGATCGCCACAGGAGGCCTGACTTTACTTCTCTCCATTCTATCATGGTTCTGCTATCCTGACAATCCGGGAAAAGCTCGATTCTTGACAAACAAGGAAAAAGTCCAAGTCATCCAGCGAGTCCACGAGGCTACCAGAAGTTCCATTGAGCAGAAAACCTTCAAGAAACATCATTTCTACGAAGCATTGTCCGACCCTATCACCTGGCTCTTCGCTTTGGTCTCATTCTGCCTCAATCTTGCCAATAACCTTGCTTTCCAGATGAGCATCCTGCTACTTAGTTTGGGGGTTGGAAATCTCGGATCTACCCTCATCACAGTTGCGTCCGGTGGCTTCGCGGTTAGTGTCGCAATCGTAGCCTCTCTTCTTCTCCGCTTCTTCCCAGGCTACAGTGCCTGGTGGGCAACCCTCTGGGTTCTTCCTGCTATTGCAGGAAGTATTGGTATGGTTGCATTGGCCTGGGATAAGACCATTCCTTTGCTCGCCTGTCTTCTGCTTGGAGTCACAACCTGGGGTATGACCTATATCATCTCTTTCGTTTGGGCGTCATCGAGCTCTGCGGGTTATACGAAGAAATTGACGCGCAATGCTCTGTTTATGATGGGTTACGGCATTTCCAACATCATTTCTCCGCAACTCTGGAAGTCTGGAGGTCCACGCTACTACGGCACTTGGATTGCTCAGACCGTCGTTAGCTTTGTGTTGACACCGTGCTTCCTCCTTATTATAAGATTTATCCTAGTGAGAAGGAACAAGGAGCGACGAGTGTGGATTGAGGAACAGGCCGCGTTGGGAAACTTTGGAGAGGGATACGTTGAGGAAATCGATGCGGATGGAAATGTGGTCAAAACGAAGGTTGATATCTCGGTCCTTGACCTCAGTGACCTTGAGAACAAGTTCTTCATCTACCCACTCTAGGAGAGAAATGGCCCACAGGTACGTTCTTATCGTTACTTGTAAAGCAGGGCACTAACACAGTGAAATTACAGCATCTAGGATATGGATACTTTATATACATCAAGTTTGGTGAAATTAATCTGTTATAGTCGAGTACGACATTCCACTAGATGTATATACATGTAGCCTGTAGCCCTAAATAAATGCTATGGGACTCTAGAATCTCATGGTGAAAAGATAGGTGTTTATAGAGCACTAAAACATTAGTCATATATCTTCGAATATGACGAATTTCCTTTGATTTCTCCATTTCTATTTCTGCCCCTCATCCTTCGCCTGTCCATTCTGCCACCTCGCCTGTGGTTGAATTCCTCTTTGCCCCAGCCTTCTCACATACACAGGGCACAAATACTTCCCAGCTCTTCTTTCAATCTTTCACACAAATTCGTCGGCCAGATATCTCCATATGTCTACGTTACTTTCACGGGATGACCTCAAGGCCAGGTCATCTCTTCCTTACTGGAATCCCTCCCTGTCTGTGGCAAGCAGGGTAGATGACCTCCTAGGCCGTATGACTCTAGAAGAGAAGGCGGGCATAATGTTTCATGACATTCTTGCAATAAGCCCAGGCGGAGCACTTGCAACTGATGTACCAAAGCTGAATCGCGACAGCGCCAAAAACTTGATTCACGGCAAAGCGATGAACCATTTCAACCTATTGGGAAGCATCGACAATGCAAGCACAATGTCCCAATGGCACAACGAAATCCAACTCTTAGCCCGGGAGACACGTCTTGGTATACCGATCACCCTTAGCAGCGACCCACGAAACCATTTCACCAACAATATCGGAACCGGGTTTCTAGCCGGGAAGTTCTCGCAATGGCCGGAACCCTTGGGACTGGCAGCTCTGAGGTCATCTGCTCTAGTGGAACGATTTGCGGATATCATCCGTCGCGAGTATCTTGCGGTGGGATTGCGACTTGCTCTTCATCCTCAGGTCGATATAGCGACGGAACCACGATGGTCCCGTATCAGGGGTGGATTTGGCGAGGATGCAGAGCTCTCAAGTGAGCTAACTACGGCTTACATTCGAGGTCTTCAGGGCCCCGGACCCCTTGGTCCTTCCTCGGTATCGGCTATGACAAAACACTTCCCCGGTGGTGGTCCCCAACAGGATGGAGAAGACCCTCACTTTACCTACGGTCGTGAACAGGTATACCCCGGCGACAACTGGGAATATCATCTGAGACCTTTCAGAGCTGCTATTCAAGCAGGGACCGCACAAATCATGCCATCATATGGCATGCCTATTGGTACAAAGTACGATGAGGTTGGCTTTGCTTTTAATCGGGAAATTATCACGGATCTCCTACGGAATGAGCTCGGATTTAAGGGTATTATTTGCACCGATTGGGGACTCGTCACAGATGCAGTCATTAGAGGTCAAGATATGCCCGCTCGTGCCTGGGGTGTGGAACACCTTACTGAGCTCGAGAGAGTACAGCGTTTGATTGAAGCCGGTTGTGATCAACTGGGTGGGGAGTCTCGTCCAGAGCTGGTCGTGAAACTAGTCAGGGATGGCATTCTTCCCGAGTCCCGAATCGATGTCTCGGTCCGTCGTCTCCTGGCCGATAAGTTCCTTCAGGGGCTATTTGAGAACCCCTTCGTGGACGTCGAGGCCGCTTCTACTATTGTCGGCTGTTCAGAGTTCTCTGATGCTGGCCAGGATGCACAGCGGCGCTCTTTTACATTATTGAAAAACACGAACGACCTCCTCCCACTCACATCGGGACTGAAACAGAAAGTTTATATTGAAGGAATCCCGCCAGAGCTTGTCCAGGCCCGGGGATTGATTGTTGTGGAAACGTTGACGGAGGCTGATTTTGCCCTGCTACGCCTTAGAGCGCCTGCTAAACCACGTCCGGGGGGATTCGAGGCGCTTTTCCGTTCTGGGTCCATCGAGTTCGACGATGAAGAAAAGTCACGGCATTCCAGCATATTCCGAAGCGTTCCTCTCACGATTGTTGACATTTACCTTGATCGTCCGTCGGTAATACCTGAAATTTCCGATGCGGCCAACGCATTGTTGGTCAACTACGGCGCCAGCGATGCAGCACTCTTGGATGTGGTTTTTGGTGTTGCCAAACCTGAAGGGAAGCTTCCTTTCGATTTGCCCTCTTCAGAGGAAGCCGTGCAGTCCTCTCGCTCCGATGTGCCCTACGATACGAGAAACCCGATCTTCCGTTTTGGAGATGGACTACAATATAGACCGCGCTCCACTAACGACTCAACCTATGTATCACTGGCAGAGAAAGAATCCCTATAGGACGATGCTTGGATAATTGCACACAGCTATATATAGATATATATAATTTTGGAATGTTATGTGAGCATAATTGTTTCTGAGGCCAAAGTTACTTGCTTTCCCAGGATCCATCATTCGGTCTCTAGCCTCGAACATCCGTCTGCGCCGCAACTCTAAACCCGAATCGCGTGATTTTCAGAGCCAGAACAGCCCAGAAGCTCTAGCTACAATTATGAAGAAAGACTACTCGCCAAAATTTCCCGGCGACATTCCCGAATCTTGTGGTGGGTCCCGCGCCGGGGTCTTCAACGGACAATAGCGCTCCTTCGGACATTCCGTGGACGGAGTCCGAACAGCCTCACTTTTTATGAGGCAACACCCTATCTAATCATCGATCATCCGATTATACGGAATATTGTATGAATCGCTCGTCATAACCATGGTCTGTATTTAATTAGCGCTTTAGGGCAAAGAACAAAATTTATAGTCTCGGCTTCTCGCTTACTGGGAACTACGTTTGGAGACAATAACTTGCAACCATGGCAGAGCAGCACACAAGTACACAAGGTGAATTCCGGATCGCCATCGCCGGCGCCGGAATCGGCGGTTTGACGGCAGCCATTGCTCTAACGCGCCTACTACCCTCGAATGTAAGCGTGACGATCTTCGAGCAAGCCACCGAATTAAAAGCGGTTGGCGCAAGCATTGGGATAGGGCCGAATGGCCTACGTTCCCTCTACAAGCTTGGTGTTGACCCGGCACTGATAGAGGAGTACGCTTTTCGACAGCCCAGTGGTCGACCTTTTGTCTACCTCCATTGGTTGACAGGCGAGGTTCTCAAAGAAACCGCCCATCAAACAGTTAAAGACCCTCGTGATGCCATGGCTCGCTTCCACCGAGCTGACCTCCAGAAGCTTTTGTTGGAGAGTTTACCCGCGAAAGTGACATTGAAGCTAAGCAAGAGGGTTAAATCCGTGGATATCCAATCACCCCAAGAGGGTGGAGGTGTTCTGTTAGCTTTCGAGGACGGAACTATCTTCGAGGCAGATCTCTTGGTGGGAGCAGATGGCATCCATTCGGCAGTTAGGAAGGTTTTTGTTCCGGGACACAGTCTCCAATGGACGGGCGACATTCTATTCAGGTCCACCTTTGATAAAGCTTTGGTGGAAAACATCGAAGGGTTACCCGAGGACGCTGTGTTCCATTGTGGACCCAATGAGAACTTCCTCTTTACGTCTCGATTAGGTACGTCAGGTGTTGTTTTGTGCGCCCAGAGGGAGCATGTGTTTGCTAGGACAAGGAATGCTGATATGCCTCAAGGGAAAACCCAATATACTGTCGTTGGCCAAACACAGTCTGATCCCGATGACCCGGAAAATCCATATCGAACAGCAAAGTGGAATACGGAAGGGGACGTGACTATGTTGAGGGACTTATACAAGGTTACTAGTGATTCCTACCATATCCATTTCCACTTCAAAATGACTAAAACATCCAGGGCTGGCATCCAACCGTACAGAATATCCTGGATGCGACACCTAGCACACGACTCTACCCAAACCATCTAGGCACATCTCTCAAATCAATGGTCTTCGAAAGCCATGTTGCGTTGATTGGCGATGCTGGACACACCCATGGTGGCGCGTTCGCGGCTGGCGGCTCACTCGCAATGAACGATGCCCACGCTCTTGGGTTAGCCTTGGCCCATGTCTGGCCAACTGAAAAGAACACAAAGCCAAGCCGTCGTCAACTCGAGAGGGCTTTGGCTCTATTTGATGGAACTCGGCGGCCTCATGTCAACAAGCTCATTGAATTAGTGGAGATCGGATTGGCGGCCCGGCAGGCTAAATTGAGGGATGAGCGCAAGGTGGAAGAGACTGATAAAGAGTTGAGGGAGAGGATATCGGGGCTGTCGGATATTGCATGGCTTGCAGAGCATGATGTTGAAGCTGCTTTCTGGGATTTTACACAAACTGAAGTTGCGAAGCTTTGAGAACCAAAACCTGCCACATCGTTTCTCTAATAATATATATTGCTAGATTCATATCAAATAAGAACACTTCAATATATTTCCAAGCGCAAGGCTTATTAATTAAATTTCTTGAATATAGTGAGTCTTAGCCCCGTAAGTAGCCTTTCTATTTCTCTTAAGTATAGATGTACTGATATACTCACCTCCACTCAAGCCCTATGTTTTCTATTGAACTTGACAATTTGCTCCATTTCTTTCCCTGAAACAGGAACTATCGTCAATATACAACAACGAAAGGAAGAATTCAGCCAATCGAAGTAATGGATACTATACATTTTAATCACATTGGATGATATTCAAACACAAAGGACCCAACCCTGAGACTACGGTTGACCACAGCCAGCTCTCACTCATTCGAAATATTGATATAGGTATCCTCAAATTGATGCTTTTGCTACATAATCCAGCGCGCGATGTTTAGCTCGGAGAGCTGCCCAATACTGCTGCCTTGCCAACAGGATTTCTATATCGCTCTGAACCCAGTTATCCTCGAATTCCGGCAATAGATATTCCGTAGGCTTTCCTGCTGGGTGACCTGCGAATTCTCGCAACCAGCCATAGTAGTCCACGAAATCCGGCTTTATTTCGTGGAACAGCTCGGTAGGCCCTTTGTACTGTAGTCGCTGTTCCTCCCACTCCTCTTGTTCTATTTTGCTCGGCAAGTCTTTGGAACGCCCGGCTAGGAAGCGACTAACCGCCACAGCCTGATACTCATAGATGCGGAAGCTAATTGCTGCTCGGACCTGCGTCGAGTTAGCACGGATCTCTATGTTACGAATCCTGTGGGTTTGCGAATGAAATCGACGGGAGAGACTTACCTGTCCGATAACAGCAAGGGAAGGATCCCCGATACGGAAAATGTGTTGGTAGAATCCGGCCAGCCTGTTCTGGGGAGTAACAGCCTCGAAAGGCAAAAACGGGTACGAAAGTTTGTATCCCGTGGCGAAGATGATCTTGTCGACGCCGTTGATGCTTGTCCCGTCCTGGAATTCAACCGTGCCACCGTCGGCAGGGGATATGCGCGAGATGGTTGTTTTATTGACCACGTTGGGAAGACACCATGCGTCTTCTAGAAAGCCGACATCGCTACGTCGGGAAACATAAAGCGGGCCCTTGACGATTTGGTGCAAGTCCTCGACAAGGTCTGCAGCAGATATGCCACCACCAACGATGACAATTTTCTGAAATCATCCAAAAATCAGTATTCAGGCGACTGGAATATTTGTCTTGATTCGTTCCTCATAACGCACCTTATTAACATATGAGGCCTGAGATCTCCAGGATTTCGAATGTTCAAACTTATCCGGAAACTCGGTGCAGGTCTCGACTAGACCTTCGATATTTGGAATATTAGGAACTGTAAAATGTCCCGAAGCTACCACCAACGCATCAAATTGCTCCTCCCACCAGTAATCCTTCGATGGATTTGACGTGCCATGCTCGACATTTCGGCGGTGTAGCGTGAGTTTCCATTGACCATCATCTGTTTTCTCAGCCTTTTCAACAGTGGTGCCTAGCACAAGTAAATGTAAAAATGGGACGAATAATTCCTCCAGATAGCGTAAAACAACGTGACGCGGTCTAGATGGATTGTCTCGGCCGAATTTTCGGATTGAGCCAATCGAGTTGGCCATTGGCAGCGGCGTATGCGTGAAGGCCATTGTGCGGGCACCGGCATTAGTGTCGAGGGTTTCGTAGGCCGCTCCCCGCAGACCTTGAGGCTCCGGAGTTGCTGGCGTGAGACATGGAGTTCTGGGTCCAAGTTCACTGGGAATTGCAGTGACCTCGTTTTGGGCGTTCACTTGAAAACTGTCTGGCTCCGGCTCATAGGCCCTGTAAAGACGTGTCTTGGTCAGTAAATAGTAGTATTAAACAAAAATACATACTAACCATAAGCCACCAACTCTATCCTTCCTTTCAAAAACCCGGATATAATCAAATGATCCTTCTTGCTCAAGCGCCCTCACAGCTGCCAGGCCGGAAGGCCCTGCTCCAATAACAGCGACGCGTCGATAAGGAGCCATATCTTTTATCACTTGGAGATATGTGGGTGTTAGCAATGAAACTATTTATTAAAATAGAAACCAAAAAAAAATTACGAAGACAGAGACAAAAATGATAGAGCCCGCGGAAAACCCCTATCGTGGTAGATCTAAGTGCCCTATCGGCGGGGATAGTACGGGGATAGTACTCCGTACACTCGGAGATCAAATGAGACACGGGATCTTAAGAACAAATCATTCTCTACTCCGAAATAATACTACTAATAATAATAATAATTAATAAATGGGTGGACATATCCAATGTAGTTTAGCTTATGTACTCGTAATCCTATGAGACAATTCCCAAGACATACTCCACAATCTCAAATGTTACTACCTATCGACCCCAGTAATCGACCCAACATAAACATTGAAGTTATAATGAACACACCTATCCTTAACAGCCAACCCTCCCTGGCCACTCAGAATCGTCTTTCCATCACGAGTCACCTTGAAAGACTGGGCCCCAACCCCCATAGTCACATTCGAAGTAACAATCCCCGCCGGAACATCAATGCTAACAGGAGCATTATTCCCACTCTGCACAGTCAATGTAGCCGGACTGGTCAACATAGTCGCGACAAAAATACTGTCGCTGAGCATGTTGGCACCCATTGGTGCTGGGAGGTTATCACCGGTGCACACGACGCCCTTGGGCGTAGGTCGGTACCAGTACACGACTTCGTCTGCTTCCACGGTAGGCGTTTTTGCTCCAGATTTGTAGGCTGCAATATAGGGCTTGAATAGGTTGCGCCAGGCGTCGTGAGGCATATTTTCCGCCCACTGGGATGACCCATCATCGCTGTGGTGGGCTGAGTACGGGCCGATATAGTGGGACTCGCCGTAATCTGTATAACTGCGCGGTTAGAAGAAAGTTTTCTAGAGAATTTATCGGGAGTATATAAGGTTAGCGTACCATTCCATGTGATAATCTCAATCAGGTCAGGCTGAAGGGAAAGCATTTGCTCCCAACGTAATGTTGGCAGATTCTCGCAAACGAAAACCCAGTTTTTGGTGTTGAAATGGGTTGAGAACCAGGGTGAGACGGCTATCATCGAGTCAGTTTACAACTCAAAACCCAGAACTGTATTCAAGAGTTACTAACGAGCCATATAAGTTTTCCCCGCGAGGAAATGAATAAATCGATCATCCCAGACGGTTGTCATCGGCCCTGGGATGATACTATTTCCCCATCGGTAGGCCAAGCCAACCACGAGAACGCACCATCAGCGCTTTTAGCAGGGCCGGTAGTAGCCTCAGCCGGATCTTGGAGATTTGGCAATGCATAAATGGGATGCGGCGTACCCTGCTTCACTTCATCCCAATTGAAACTGTCTCCGACAAATGTACTTACTACCGCGCCTCCCTTATATTGCATCTGCGCTGGGTGACCTGCATATAGTTTCATGTACTCCGTAATCTTTGCTGTGTCCCCATTGGTCCAATAGGCAAAATCGAAAGAGATAAACACTTTGAAATTGACTTGTTGCGCTGCTTCGTAGGCTAGGGCTAGTTGGGTTGGGGTGTAGCTGTCTATGCTTGCGCAGTTCAGGGCGAATGCGTCGATGCCGATGGATTGGGCTGTAGTCATGTCTTCTTTCCAGTCTGATAGCTGGTAGTCTTTTACTATACCGACCTAGGTCCATGGGATCTATGTCAATGATGGGGAATGGAAAGTAGTCAGGTGCTAGAGTGCTAACCATGAAGTGGGCGAAGACATATTTGTCTGACGCCTGACTAGTCAACTCTGAATCGGGAGTTGGGGCAGCTAAAGCTGGGAAAATATGTGCCAATATGGCGATAGCACTAAAGAAAGATTTCCAAATCATATTCGCTAAATTTATAATTTAATTTTTCTCAATGATATGGATTTCCGAGGTCCCCTAACAGATTATATAGTTCTTCATATTATACAATATTATACTTCCCAGAACATACTAAACCCAAAAAACAAATTAAAGAGAGACAAGTAAAATACCAATATCAACCTTGGATAATAACTTCAACGGCAAGTATAAAACTTGTTTCCTTCTTCCCGCAGAACATTGTAACACCCGACATTCCATCACATCCACGTGAGATTGTGTAGTATTCGCGGATTTCCCGTGTGATTCTACTTTTTTTTTTTTTTTTTTGCTTTTTGCTTCTGCAGCATATGGTATCGCTGGACTGCCCAGTGCCCGTCTATCACGCTCCAAAATGGGATTCAATCCGGGTTTGAAATGCTACAGTAGTGCTGAGTATCACAGGCACTATGCTCAAATCAGGCTTTATGCGCCAGCTGATCGAGAAAAATGAATTTGTTGGGCATATGAAAATATTGGGTACAACTCAAATCGAGGATGAACACCGATGTCGCTGTTCAAGGTACTTCCGACGGATGGAGGACCCCCTTACCTGAGGCCTTCGGCTCGTGTCCCATACGCATGATTGAATTTCGGAATGACGACATAAACAATCACGGGGGAAATAGTCTTCCGCAGAGTGTTATTCAACTCGCTATATTATCAGAAAATGATAAACGGGCTTCGTCATTGTGCTTCAAGAGGGTAGCATCTGGGTTCGTTGACACTGGAAAGCTGGGCCAATCACTATGTTTCGACAGGTTGATTACCACGTAGGTAGGGAGATTCTCCAATTGTAAAAGAATGAATGCCCCATAGCTTCTGACAGAGAGAAGCGCGTGATGAGGATGTTCATATTGCATTTCTGGCGGATGGTAAGAGGCAGAAATCAAAAGGATAGTGCCAGATCCCTGATATTGAAATTATGGAATCGGACAGAATGATATATAGCAGGTTAGATCTAAGACATAGGTAAACCAAGGGGGGTTCTAGATCATAACGTGCAACGCAGATTCGCTGTTCATCGGAGATTGCATTCCACGGAGATTGCATTCCATGGTGACCTGCATATCCAGGCTTGTTTTGGTATGCAGCCCTAATTGATTCAGAGCTGTTTGCACTGGACCCGTTGGCATAGATACCCCTTACATAAACTCGGCCCTTGCTCAAAATCCTCACCCAAGTCACTAAGAGTACATAGTCATTATTATATCTATCAGAGATACACTAAGGCGTACAGGTACATTGGGACCCGAAGACTATAGCTTCCATTATAGCAACAACATTATCAATATAGCACAAGAGAACATTATTAATTCTTTTCTAACATTCGTGACACGTTAAAGTTTCTTCCAAGAACGCCGTGTATATAAATACCGAAAGAAAAACCACCACTCGGTCAAGACACTAACTCCAGAGCCTTTGCACGATGAACAAATCCCACCGCCGCATCTTCGAAGGTCTTTTTCGCTTCACTGTGACTAGCGACCAGAACAGCAATCTCGGGCTCGATCCTGATCTCCTGTGACTCATGACCAGGACGAATGAAGTAGTACTTGCCCTGATGATAAGACCATTTTCTGAGATAGATTTGGACATCATTCGAGGCGATGTTGTTAGCCGTCTTAAGTAGTTCAGTTTTCCTGCTATCAGAGGGCGGCGGCATCGCGGGGAATGCGATATGGGCACTACTCGAGGACAAGTCTGCGTCTGAATCTATGTTGTGTAGACATTTGCTCACGGCGTTGGCGAAATCGCGGATCCACTCAATGTGGGTGAGGATACCCTCCGCAGCAGCTGTGGTTCGATCAATGTAATCTACCACTGGCAGAGCCGAGGAGATCATATCAAGGAAGGCGGCAAGCATGAGTAAAGTTGGAGGGTTTTGCAGACGATGGCGACGGGAGGAAACCACAGCTAGTGCTTGACAGGAGGCTCGGCATACAACATCAATGATATCGATAACAGAAGATACGCAGGCTGGATCCAGAGTGTCTATGTTACACAGGAGGTTCTTGAACTCCAGCGTGATGGTCTGGATGATAGGACGGCTGAGGATCCAGGCAGCGCGGCTGGGAAGCGTCGCTTCGAGATACGCTGGAAACACACATTGCAAGAGCACGGCGCGGAGAGTTGGTTTGCCATTGTCCCCGGCTTCGTAGGTATTTTTCATCGATGTGTGCAACTGGTCAACCAGGTAGCTCTGTTGGCCGTCAATGGCGGCGCGCTCGGAAATGCTCTGGACGAAACCAGTCAAGGTTTGGATCTCTTTGCTGGACGACAATTTTGACTCGTAGCGTCTGAGCTTCGCGACAATGTAGCGTGGGTCTGTAGACGGCAAAGGGAACGAAGCAGGGTCCGTGAAGAAGGGGTCGATGGGTTTGATGTCGCTGGTATGTTGCTGGAGGAAACCGATGACCCGTTGCACGAACTCGACGTATTCTCCTTGAGCAGCCTGCGCTGTTCCGTTACCTAGCTCTTGGTAGTTGTCTTTCATGGACGTCATTACCCGCTGAAGCATCTCCGAGTACTCTTGTTTTGTCACAGAGAAGTTCCGACTGCCTGAAAGTTCCATGTCCTGGAGCTGCTCACGCATATTAGACGATAGGCTCGAGAGGAGAGATAGTCGCCGAGAGCCAATCTCCTCCAAGGTGATTGTATACCGGCCAATCTTCTTATCCTGGGAGAACGGAAGATTTCTAAGCAAGGGATCTGTGGGACTTCCGTTCAAGAGCGCCTCCGTGAGACGATGTTGAAACTTCAACATCGAGGAGCGCTCGACCAGCGACGACATCCACATACTCATAACTTGGATCCGGCAATCAGAAACAATCTGTGCATCCTTTTCGATGCACGCCGCAAGGAACAGCGGTGCAAACTTTCTTGTCTGAACTGTCTGTCGAAGCCGCGTCCATGAATCATCGCCGAACTCGCTCAAATAATTGTCCCAATTTCGGAGGCCATGGCGAATGAGAACCTGCGCGATTGATGTCCAGCACTCTACCACGTTGAGAAGAACGGCATCCTCTGGACAGTGGTCCTCACCAAAGCAGTTCGAAACGAGACGAGATACAATCGGATGGAAAACCTTCTCCACATGTTCAATACCCTCGCTTGGAGAAGTTTGCTGGTTCCAAACAGCCTGGATTGCATCCCAGTCACCGAACTCCTGACTGTCCTCATCAGTATTCACTGCCGCAGGGGCATCTGGTGTTGATGTAGCTGGAACGTCTTTCTCGGTGTAAGCAACCAGGACCTGCAGTGCCTCAGATACAACAATATTCACGCGCGGGAGCTTGGGGTTGAAAAGTGCAAGGATTGACTCAAAGGGGGTTCTCAGAACCAGCCTGTGCGCATGCTCCAGTTTCGGCGCCAGTTGCACAGCAATTCGCAGCCCACCAAGCGCATTGCTCAACAAGGCCTCGATCTGCCGCTGGTTTTGGGAGATCGTGCGTTCAACAAGCTGTTGAGAAACCCGATTGTCGCCTGTGTTTTGAGCCTCGATCTCTTTGCGAGCATATGAATGCTGTTGCTGCAGCTCCGTAACGAAATAGCCATACCAATCTCCAAACGGATCGAGCCCCGAAACCTCTTCATCCGTAGAAAGCTTGAATCGAACAAGTCTTGACCATGAGCGCAAATTGATGCTGCACGCTTCGCGATGTGAAGTGGCAGGATGAACTAGATTGCGTATCGTCTCTAGTCGAGGGCGACACCCATCAGGAACAGCCCAATACAACGTACTAAGAAGATCGTGGTGATTTCTTAGTGCATCGAGGTCCTCGTGCTGCAAGGGCTGCTCTTTCGGGTATACACGTCCATGGTTTGGCAGAAGACGCCAGGCAAAGTTTCGAATCTTTTTCTTATCATATCTCTTCGCCAGGAAGCGGAGGCCACTTGCTACGATCTTGAGAAATGTGTGGAAACAAGGTTCCCCCACTCGGGCATCCAGAGAAGGATTGCTATCAAGTTCGTCAAGAAATGAAGGCGAGCCACGAGCTTCCTCGAGTTTCAGGTTGTGCAGGGTATTCTTGGCGAAAAAGTCGAATAGCGTGTCCAAGATAGGCTTGCATTCTCTCCACCCCCAGGAATTGATAAGGCGATGACATCTGAGGAACAAGGTTCGACAGTAGCTGTTGTATGAGATTGGTTGCGCCTTGGAGTTGGTCTCGAAATGGTCTAGGGCTGGGGCGAGAAGCCATTTGGCTAGTTTCCAATTGTCATTGACAGCTGTCAACTGATAACCAGGGCGCGCAATCCCAAGCAGATCAATTTCGTTGAGGGGCAAGACTGTAAAAATGCTGCGCCATCCATCCTCCAAGCTGCCCACGTCCCTTTCATTGCGAATAAGTCCACTATTGAAAGTCTCGAGCTGAAGATCTTCAAAGCAGCCCTTGTAGTTGTCTGAGCTACGTAGAAGATGTTTGGTGACAACGTAAGCCTCTGCCGATGGATACTCATCGCGAATCCCCGACTCGCGGCGTTCAGGCTCGTTGTTTTCCTTGAACAATGCTTTGAACTCAGAAGAACCGACCTTGGACGTGATCAAATCTGAAACGTCTTTAGCAGATATCTTGACAAGATCAAAAGCCTCAGTCGCAAGGGCAGGGCTGACGAGTCGGTGAGAAGCAACTTGATAGATCTGGTTCGAGAGAATCATATTGAAACAAGCAATCTTGACGAGCCCACTCTTGTTGTATTCGTCACTAGTCAGAAAGGCAGCCAACGGATCTCTCACCTGGGAGACCAACCCCATGGCTCTAGTGACAAACCCCGTACGGTCAACCGGGTCAATAAAAGCCAGGTTACCCGTGATGTATTTGATCAACAACCTGTATAGCCTTGATGCCACTCCTAGGGCAGCTGTAATGCCAGTCTCCGGGGTGGTAACAGCACTTTGCTCAACATTATCGATTATGACATCAAAGACCTGTCCCATCTCCGATGATACTGTATCGTTCCAGCGACTCCATTTGAATGTCTCGTTTCTGAGCTCGATAGAGAATGGAGGGGCATCTCCATCGAAGTCCCGCTCGGCGATTCGCAACGAACGAGAAAATTCTCCGCTTCCTATGAATGTACTCTCATGGAAGAATGTATTGTCGCGTAATGACGGTACTCCGAAGTCGACTGGATAGAAGCGTTGCCAGTTGAAAAGCCCACCGACGCTGAAAGTTGAAGGGCGTGCATGTCCGACATCCGTTATGGCCAGAGCTTCCGAGTCATCAGAAACTATGGTAGCAGGATCTGGATTTTGACGGAATTCGTCGGCATCGAGGTTGAGTCGGGTGGGGGGATGCTTCTTCAACCGCCGTCGAGATACAGCGGGTTTATGGGTTGGTGTTTGAGTTCGTACTTTAGCTGAGGCGGCAGCAGCGGCGGCGGCGACAGAAGCATTCATGGGCGAGGGGTTCCCTCCAGTACTCAATGACCCACTGCCAGAGACATATCGATCCAAGGTCAGGCTGGGCTTGTAAGGTTGAGATGTGCGCTGGTTTTTGTAGTGTCGATTGAGAATAGACAATGACTGGTTGAACATGGCCGGGAGCACTTTTTGGCTTTTACCAGGACCAGCCAAACTAGTTGCTGCAGGTCTAATGGTGTTCCTCTTCAAGGATGTTATGGCAACATTCCTAGGAATAACCCATGTGTGACCGTGCTGCTCTGGTTTTCGACGGGACGAGGACTCGGCCACTGGGGCTTGGTTTGGTGGGACTGATACTGCGCCAGATTCAGGCGGTGCTTGTGCCTGTTCCGGTTCCACTGTGCTAGTGTTTAAAACGTCGAGATCTGCCTCGGCATCGAGGAATTGGTTCGGTATCTGGCCGGTTTTAGAATTTGATTTGGTTCGAGCACTGAGAATCGAAAGATTTGTTGTCCAATGCCGGTGTTGGGGAGCTCTAGGATGGGGTGGGCTAATCTTGACCTGCCGAATAGCTCCCCTTTTCCAATCTCGCAAGGACTCATTTGCATCCACTGTGTCCTCCCTTGAGGCTAGTTTCACGAACTTCTGAGTAGGGCTCTGCCTGCCTCTATCTTTACGCAATCGTGGTCGTCTTGTCGCTACCCTAAGCAATCGCGATTGCTCTGTTCGGGGCTTAGTGGCAACATCTGGCGCATCCAATATTCCTATCCTTGGTCGCTGGGCGGTTGAGTGTTTCTTGGTCCTTCGGGTTCCATATGAGGCATCGGTCATTCGGGTTTGTCTAGGTCTCTTCGGCCGTCTTTCCCCATTGAGGAAACTTTGTTTCGATTGTGGCCTTTTCAAACTCTTTGTTTTGTGTCGAGAACCTGTTGAGTTGCGCGGAACAGGCCCAAACATGTAGTCGATGCGATTATCCTCGGAAATATCACCCCCTTCCAGCGCGAAGGGGTCTTCAAGGTCAAGGGTGCCAGTTAACCTCTGGCTGGAGTCATCGGCTATGGAAGCATTTCCTGTGGCATCGTTGCGGTTGTCCTCACCGTCCGAGTCAGAATCTCCAAGATCGAACAAGCCTCTTGGTTGTTGCGTTGCCGGTTGCCTTGATCGATCACCCTTTCGAATGAGCTTCCGTGCAACACCCTTTCCGTCCGGCCGTTGCGAAGAAGCATGGCGATCTACTGGCGAGGCTTTTTCTTTATCTGCATTTATCTTCTGATGCAGCCGAGCATGTGATGCAGGGAGCGCTCCTCGAATCATTCGTTGGAATCGTCGAATTTCACGTTCTTCGGCAGCTGACTTGGTTTCTTCTTGATCACTCTGGCCGTTGGACGAGATGGACTGTACTTCCTCATCATCATCATCTGTGCCCGCACCGGGTGATTGGCCCTGGACTGGTTCTTCTGTTTCCTGTACCCAAGATTTCGCAACTTCTCCCGGCGGTGACCACCCACGAGGGAACCGGAACCCTCCTTCTGAGGCACGAGGAGTCCTCGAGGTCGAAGATAAACGGCCTGTGTGTGGAGGGCTAGATGATAGATCATATATGGAGATACCGTTTTGATCCCCAGTAGCTGTAGCTGTATTGTTGTCTCTGATGCCACGAGGTTTGGACGGTTTGTGTAAATTCCGACGCTCTTTGGGAGTTCCAGAATGAGAAGTCTTCTGTCGCTTTGCCAGATGAGCTTGCGATGGCCGGGGATGCTCTGAGTCTTTGCGTTCCGCAGCAGATTGTGGGCCACGATGTCGTTCATGTCTTATCGGTGGAAGATACTCTTCAAGAGGGGGACTTGACGGAGGTGCATTGGGGTCATATGAATCTTGCCCTTGACTCTCATCGGTAACCTGCTGTCTTTGCTGCGCAGGTCGACCAAAAGGCTTGACGCCCCGCGCTTCCAGTTGCTGGTGAAACTTCATATATTCCAGATGATACGGGTGCAGTTGGATAGCATTGCGCTTCCGGAATGTTCTTTGCGCAGCACGCGGTAATTCTTGCAACACTTCTTCGGGGAGATCAAGATCGGGTAATGCATTGTTCGGGTTGGCATCTAGTTCGACGAGCACTGTCTGCCGAATATCTGCCTCCCTATCTGCCGGTCTTTCTGGCTCTGCCTCTATCCCACCATCTGCCTGTGTTTCTATAAAATCGTGGGCCGGTGGAGAACCCAAGGATGACGGTACAGAAGATAATGGAGAATCATCATCCGAAACCCCCTGTAGTGGTGGAGGTGGTGGTAATTGTGGCGCCTCTATTGGCTGAATATTCTGGGCCACGGGCTTTTTCTTCCGAATTGGCTGAGGTATCAACACCAGCTCGTCAGGAGAGGAGCTCCGAGTGCTTGAAGTTTCATCCTGTGTGTTTTCCTTTGAGGGGTGCAGCTCTGCTATAACTTCCGATGGCGAGGGTCTTGCGGTCTTCAAGGGTTTCGGCGTAGATTCGAGGCTCGAGGGCTTCGATCGAGGCCTATCGTGTTCCTGCGATGATGTTGGGAAATCATATATGCTGGCAGTATAATTTGCGGGGTCATTGGTATTATGCAGCTCGATACTGCGGCGATTCGTTGATTTCCTAGCCGACGATCGAAGTCCGTAGGTCTTGCGTCCTCTTCTTTGTTTTGGTGTCGTTTCGTCATGCGTGGCATTTGTCAAGTGAGGACTTGCTCCATTCGTATGTCGACGAGTCACATCTTCAGTATCCGAGAGCGTGATGGAGCCATTCTCAGCCCGAACGTGCTCTTGTTGCTCCTTCGTTACACTCGTCGTCCCTTCCTTCGGCGAAGATGAAGGGTTGTCGATATATTCGAGATTTTCGACCGCGGGGCTATTTTCGATATTACCGTTCTTCGCATCTAGAGAATCGAATCCATCTTCCTCGTCCGAGTCGGGGACATATCCTCGTTGTCGCCATGATTCCATTTGCATCCTTGGCGGGGATCCCCCATGTCTCTAAACAGTCATTGGGTGGTTTTAGGGCGATAAAAAAGTGAGCGAAATAATTCCTGGGTTAAAATTCGCGAAACACAAGGAGATCAAACGTCGAACAACTATTCAAACTGTCTGAATGCAGGGAATTTTATTCCGACGCGTGCCAACGGGGCAATTTAGCAGACGCGCCGGCTGCTAATCAGCCAACTGATAACCGATTTCCCGCATCACCTCCGCAACCTCCAACTGCAAATCTTGCCGTCTACCCCCAATTCCTCCGAAATGAGTCGCAATTTCTTCCCTGCTGTTTTCGCTATCGGCGTGGGTATCTTCACAGGTAAATCTACTCTACGGCAAGAATAAGTCATATCTGATGTCAGTCACTAATCTCGAATCTTTCCATCTGCTGCAGGCTACTATACCTTCCAGCCAACATTCCAACAACTTCAATATGAGAGACAGCACGCTCAGAAGACCTCACCTCCGTCTGATCCTGTTGGTCTGAAGCAGGACACCAATACTCCCACCAAAGCCGACTCTCAGCAAGATCCCAAGTCAACGACTCAATGACGATGACCAACCTTCCTCTTGAATTAGCATTCTGAACACTGAACTGGCATAAGTACCACCACGCATGATTATGCTAGTGGCCTGTTCAATGCGCACTATGCCTTTGGAAGCCGTGCTCTTCCTCGCGCTCCGAAGCTCCAGCGCACATGGCACCATATGCCTCGCTGTGCCAGACTTGTCAGGTCTTGTGACCGGCCCTGGAGGCCGTTGTATATATAGAATTAGTGCGACGACCAGTTCCGAGGTAGTTGTGGGTAGGAATGCTGAATGTTGACCTAGAACAGGCTAGCCCCGCGTACTACTAGTGGGGGTGGCCGACTAATTGAATATAAACCCCAGTTTTATCGGCATATCTATGTGTACCTAGAAAACATTTGAAACAGTCGATGTATTGCATGACATTTAAACCTTGACATTTGGAAGAGGCATGTTTTGAACGCCGTTCGCAGCACACGCAGAAAATCAACCCTAGTCCCTTGCAAATGATGTAGTCCGTTTCCCGATTACCTTAGTCGAAAATCCTTAAGCGCCAATCCGTTGTAGTTTCTGCATGTAACATCAAACTTCTTCGACCATTTTCCCCGTAGGAACCGTAGGTGCGCCGAAGACACGTCCGGTAGGTGTACCCAGCCATTCTTCTGGCACAGCGACTTTACAGCCATTTTGACCGCTAATCCATCGCGCCATGGTAGGGTCGGGCTTCTCAGCCTCGGTGCCTTCTTGGCCGGGGGTGCCATCAGTGGCCTCGGCCGCCGCAGCTCGACCACGCCGCTTGGGGGCCTGCTTCTTTAGCAGTCGATTAATTGTGTCCATCTATTGTTCATGTTAGCGGCCGTTCTCCAATTGGTGTTGAAGGTGACTTTTTGCGTGTACCTTTTCCTCTTCATTCCGCTTCTCACTCAGATTCTTCCTTCGCCGCGCCATCTCTGCACGACGCATCTGACGCTCCTCGGCAGTCAAATGCTTCTTGACCTGGGGCTCTATTTCTTAGTTAGCTTCAATTTCGGCGAATTGTTAATATGTAGTTTCTCACCCATGGGAAGTTGCAGGAAATCATTTCCCAGATTTCCTCGCTGGCGCTTAGTGGTTTTGCCACTTTGCATAGCGAGGGCATCACTATCCATGTCGTCGTCGATTTCGTCCTCTTCATCAAGTTCATCGAGATCATCGACGTTGACGTCTGGAACTGCAATTTCATCCTGATCTTCACCCTCGGCTTCGGCATCTTCATCCGTATCGGAGATAGGCTCTTCATCATCTTCTTCTTCCTCTTCGTCTTCTTCCATTTCCATCTCCTTGGCCTCCACGCTCTTGGGCGGCTTGGTGCGAGACGGAGGTGTGATCTTACCGCGCCTGGTAGGGGCCTGAGGTTGGATGTCGTCCATATCGATGTCGCCATCAGCATCAGCGTCAGCGTCAGCATCGGCATCTTCGTCATCATCGTCATCACCAGGGGCATCTTCATCGTCGACTTCATCCTCTTCTTGGTCGTCGATTTCCTCTTCGTCGCTTGTAGCAACTTCTACAATCTTCTTTCGGTTCCGACTGGAGCGGGGTCCCGAGACAATGGGATCTTCCCGGAACACATTGACTGAGCGGCGTCCAGCAGAACGGCCAGCACCCGTAGCTTCCCGCAATTTACTGGAAGCCATTTTGACAGTAAGACGGAGAGATCTCTTTCGATCTCCTGAATTCAATAAAGATCGAGAGACTGAGACTAAAGCAGATGCAGAAGTGGAGGCACGAGTTTGTCTCGTAGACCTGGTGGTCATGTTAGCTTCTGGCTCTGGGGTGTCATCTTGTATCTTTCGCGATCGAAGGGATCGACGGAGAGACATGGTGGCGGCTTTATCGAGTGTGACAGAAGTCTTGGGGGAAATGAAAATGCAAAAGCCAGAACAGTAAAAAGAAGCGGGACAGGGAAGGACGATAGGCAAGTGTGTGGCAGTATGAACTAAGCCATTAAGCCTTTTGAGGAGGGGGGCAGGCTGGAGAGAGATAGAGGGAAGAAAGGAAGGACATCCAATCACTTCATCCACGGAGTGCGAGGCGGAGTTGCAAACCGGGAAGATACAGATTGCTTTTCTATACGGGAATTTTCCAATGCGAACAAAGCGCACTGTTACAGGGGATCAGGCTTTGGGATGTTTCTCCTGGCTTTCTCTTGGGGGATCTTTGGGGTCCAACCCCCGGGGCTTGGGCAGATAGGAAGGAACACAAAAACAACAAGATCAACGGGGGAAACTCCATACTCACAAGTACTTTTCTCTAAGGTTTCAGATTCTCTCCCAGGTGTCCAGTCGCTGACGCTGGATGAACGAATGAAGTACTGCGCGGTCCATTCTGCCGGGCGGTATCGAGTATATACGGATGCCATTTGAACTATATGGTGATGATCATTCAATATTCAATTGATCTATTCAATTGAAATATGGAAATAATTGGTGTATAAGACTCTATAGCCTTCAATGGGACCCTAGAGTCAGGTGGTATGGCTTCGTCTCACATACAGGCTATTTTCGGTGAACGATGCAGGGTATCTTTTGTTTTCTACTTGGGACATTCGATATAGATCTCTAAATACAAGTCAAATTCAAGGTACACAATTTTTATTTGGATTATTCTTAAACAATATCATATTATAAGTTCAGAATACAATGTGAACACGTACGAGTGTTATGGCAAAATGTACGGCAATATTGATGCCTCAGGTGTACAACGGTGTTGCAACAGCCGAGGTCGGGCTCACATGGCCCCAAGTCCGGGGAAGGTTCCCTCTCTCCTCTTTACAGCATCCCCCAACGCCTTTGCTTTCTTATATCTCTGGTGAATGTGCCAGATACCTCATCATGCCTGACGATACATCCAAATCAGCATCTATTCCCTCATGGCAGACGGCCAATAAATCAGCCGAAGAGTCGCCATCGCCGACCTCCGACAATGCGCCCGCAACTACAGCCTCCACATCCCGACAAGCTCTCCTAGACCAAGCATCCAAATTCCTAGAAGACGAGTCAATCCGCGATGCACCAACAGAGCGCAAAGTTTCATTCCTCGAGTCCAAAGGTCTGAGCTCAGACGATATCGAGCAGGTCCTCGGCGTCTCTCGCAACGCAGAGCCGAGCAGCAGCTCAACCACAGCCGAGGACAAGACACAGGAAGAGACGCCATCTACCTCACCCACTCAATCCAAAGTCACCCCTTCTTCTCCTCCTGTCACCTCCTCACCAACCTCCAACACTATGCCTCAATCACACCCAGCACCAGCGCCAGCGCCAACCGCGGCCCCCCGCGACGTCCCCCCCAATAATCACCTACCCCGAATTCCTCTTCGAGTCATCCAAGCCACCACCCCTCGTGACAATGCGCAGCCTCCTGTACACACTATACGGCGCCGCAGGTCTAGGAGCAAGTCTCTACGGCGCAAGCGAGTACCTCGTGAAACCCATGCTAGCAAGCCTAACAAGCGCACGACACGAGCTCGCCAGCACAGCAGAAACAAACCTGCAAAAGCTAAACGAGAAGCTGGAGAAGACCGTATCCGTGATTCCGGCAGAGTTAACAGCACGCAAGAGCAAGCCCTACAGCGACGAAGAAGACGATGACGCCTCGTCGATCACCTCGGACCCAACCGAGCTGTTCCACCGGGACGTCGCAACACAGACGAGTCCAGAGCCCACCCCTGTGATCAGCGCTACTGGTGCCGTCAACTCGGCGGACCCGGCGGCTGTCTCTCCATCGACGGCGGTTAATAACCACATCAGTCGTGTCGAGTCTATTACATCCAAGCTGCGGGAGATCGTTGACTCAGAGAAGGATGCGAGTACGTTGGATGACTCGATGCGGACGCGTCTCACGGAATTGCATCATTATTGTGATGGGTTGATCTATAGTGGTCCTACGTACTCTACTGGGTCGACCTATGGGGTTTGGAATTCCAATACCTCGGGCTCGAATGATAACTCTGGTACACGGAAATCGGAGGATGAGGCTATTGCTGGATTTAGGGCTGATATTCGTGGTGTGAAGGGTGCGCTGTTGAGTGCGCGCAACTTCCCTGCTAGTCGGGGTGGACGGCTTGGTGGTCTTCCCGCCGGTGGACGATGATGAGGTTAGATCGTGGAGTTTTGGTGCGATTGTATGAATGTATATAGATTGCAATGGATTCTCTAGGTGGTTTGCCTAGGTGTATATGGACTTCTATATTCATTTGTTTGGCTGCATCTACTAAATTACAGCCTAAGTCCTAGTATGTATACTTTCTTGGCCTATAAAGAACTCCATATCCTCATTTGATTCATGTCTATCTAGCAATTTAAATAAGAAGACAACATGGGGTAAACACTATCAGCCACACTTAAGAACAGTGGGGAATTTTCGCTTTGTTCATGATCAGACTTATACCCCCAGGAGAGAAGGAGGAACGGAAGAAAATACGCAAGACATTAATTATAAAAAATGGACAAGGAAGATGAGAAAAATTTAGAGCAACGCTGAAATATAAAGGAAACAAGGCCAGAAATACATAAGTTATACCAAGCCTTTAGCATTCCCTTCACTTAACAAGGTACAAGGTGTCATTTACGGGGTAGCGCGGCTCATGCTAATCAGTCGCTTAACACCGACCTGTAGTTATACTTGTTAGTAACCATTCAAGATTATAGGACTGATGTTCACTCACCATCCAGTTGCCACATTCGTCAGTCCGGTTGGTCATGATATCAACATGAATAGCGAGGGCGGCATTGTAGTCACGTTGCTGGAGAGCGCGGGCCAAGTTCGCCATGTCCTCGATGGTGTTGGGCTTGAGCAAGTCCTCGTTGTTGAGGTGATCAAAGAGGATGTTCAAGCGACGCTCGGCATCATCAACCTGTGCCTTGAATGCCGCAGGGGCCCGGGTCTTGACACGCTGCATGTCTGCCGATAGAATCTCGAAGACAGGCTGTGCGTTTGCAGGAATGTGTGAACGGTCACCGGGGGCTGTAATAAGGGTCAATTGGCTGGAATCATTATTGCTAACTGGAATTACTCACGATACTTGGGAGCCGGAGGAGTTGGCTTCTGCGACTGGGCCGTGGGAGGTCGAGATCCTTGAGGCGGCGTCGGGATGGCCTGGGCCATAGGTGGAGGCTGTGTAGCAACAGGCGTAGTGGGCCCGTATGGGTTTGCCGCAGGAGGTTGTGATACTGCTTGTGGGGCGTATGGCGAGGCAGCCTGGGGAGGTGGAGCCACAGGGCCACGATTCTGCAGTTGCGGGTTTGCAGCGGCCTGGGCAGCCGGGCTTGGCGCATACCGGTTGGTTGGGGGTGGCACGCTAGGAGGAGCGTTGTAGGGCGATGCTCCGCGAGGGATCGATGCCGGGGGAGCCATGGTTGACCCCTGAGTCAACGGCGGTGACTGAGGGAGAGAATCGTATGGGTTGGCAGGGGGTGGCGGGGAAGGCCCCGGGATGTTAGATCCAGCCTGGGCACCAGATAGCGGCGACATCATGCGCGGCGGCGGAGGCACGGAGCCCACCTTTGGTGGGGGAGGCACGGATGGTGCGCGCGGAGCACCAGCGGGGGAGGCCCCTGGGTCAGATTAGGTGACTGATTGGGGAAAGGAGAGGGGATGGGTGCAGAGACTGTGGCAGGAGTTCCACGGCGGGGCGTAGGAGCCTTAGCAAAGCCTTCTGGCAAATCATTCCACGCAGGAAGGCCAGTGGCCGTGGTGTATGTTGTGATCGTGTTGGCCGGCGACTGGTTAGATGACGCACGAGGAGGGGGAGGGACACCAGCACCTGTGGGCTGTTGTCCGCCGAATGCAGACGGTGGAGTATAACTGGTAGGTCTCATCCCCTGAGTTGGCTGGTACCCAGTTGCCTGTCCGTAGGCAGCGTATGGGTTGGCAGGCTGAGCTGGCGGGGAGGTAGTCTGAGGGCCATATGGGTTAGCCTGCTGGGGAACAGCAGGTGCAGGAGGCGCATAGATGTTAGGAGTAGCAGCCGGTGGTGGAATAGCAGCAGCATTGTAAGCGTTCGTCGGCTGGTACAAGTTGGGCTGCTGCGGGAGGGGCTTGAAGCCAGATTTGGCTGCGACAGCGGGCTGGGCCTTCTGAGGTACCTGTCTGGTAGCAAGCTTGATGCGGTTGCGCGCCACCTCAGCTTCAGGGTGCTTCTCGGGGACAAGGTCGAGGTACTTCTGAGCAATTTGCAGACGTCCATGGGTAGCGACAACATCGGCATATTCAATGTACTTGTCATACAAGACGCTCAAGCGCCAATCCGACTCCTTGTTCCGCTCTGTATCCTGGAACTTGGTGACTTGGCGGAAGATGGTAACCTTCTCAATCAGGCCCTGCAGAGCACGGACATGGATAGAGAAGGAAGAGTTGTCAGTGTTGTTCTCAATTCCTTTCTGCTCATTCTCACGGAGCTCCTCAACCCAAATGGCAACAACCTTCTCAAGCTTCGAGCCTGCCAAGTAGCAGAAAGAAGCATCCTTGCGGGCGCTCTTATCGTCGCTGTTCTGAATCTGCTCCTCAAGGCGATCACCGAGAGCATCGCAGAGATCAGGGAATTCCTTCTCGTCGGCAAAGGTACACAAGGCAGCCATAACTTCCTTCCAGTTGGACAAGTCGGCATTGTGGACCACATCCCACAGGTTCTTGCCCACAATAGATGCGAGCAAGCGCATGTAGTTTGGACCGCCAGCCTGCTTGGAGAAGTAGTACTCCTGCGCCTTTTCGATGCACTTCGGGCCACCGCAGATAGCAATCATGAAAGCATCGGACATCTTATCCTCCCGGAGGGCAACATCCAGAGCTTTCTCGAATTCCCCAAGGAGCAAAGCCCGAGTAATTTGTTGCTCTGCCTGGCTTTCCGAGCCATTGAAAATTTGGAATGGGTTGTTGGTTTGAGCACCCTTAGAGGCAGCCAGTTCGGAAAGGAAGCTGTCACCTTCAGGGTTGGCATCGAACATGGATTGCAACCGCTTGTGCTTCTTAACACCAGCAGGTTTGGCGGCAGCGCCATTGGTGCTCTCGCCTTCCTTCTTGTCCAACCCAAGCTGCGCGAGATTATCGGCGGCCTCGTCAACCTGATCCTGGAATCCGAGATACTCTACCAAGCCCTTGCGTGGGTTTTCGGAGATCAAAGCCTGCATTACCTTCCAGTCGGCCTTTTCTGCTTCATTGGAAGCACTTGAGGCGCGTGACTCACAGAGAGTACTGATATCACCCTCTTTCAATGCAGTCTCAAAGCTCTCAGTGGCATTGCCAACGCTCTCATCAACCTCGAACGGTGTGATTTTGATACTGGATGTACGAGAGCCCTTCTCGGTCAGGCCGAAGGAAACGACCCGACCTCCGAAACCAAAAGTAGCACCACAGGGCCGCTCAAGCCAGCGAGGGGCCTTCGGAAGGGAGAACTTGGAGACCTGGGGCTGCGTTTGCGCCTTGTTGAAGAAGTCTTCGCCGTCCAGGGCTTGGTTGTGATCGGCGATGGCCTGGGCGTTATCGGTCTTAGTGTTCTGCAGGGTCTGGACACAGATCTTTCCATCAAACGACGCGGTTGCGAAGAAGTTCGGGTTATGGGGGTTCCAGCGGGTCTGGAAGGTCCAGTTTGTGACAACGGGGAACTCTCCATAAGCCTGGCCGGTTTGCGGGTTCCAACAGATATTACGGTTATCTTTGCCGGAAGACAGAAGGAGATCTGGATCATGCTCGCACCAAGAAAGTGAGAGCACACCGGACTCGTGGCCGGTGAGTGTCTATACAAATCATATCAGTATAAAATCACACCCGGACTCCGAAAGAGTGACCTACCCGCTCCGGAGCGTGGGAGTTGCGCAGGTCCCAGACATATAGCACTGGGTCTGAGTCGAGAGGAGACGATGTAATAAGCTTTGTGGGCTAGACGTGAAAAGGGTCAGCAATCTTGAAATAACCATGTAGGAGGTGCCAACATACCCTCTCTGAGTCCCATGCGACTGCGCTGACAGCCTTCCGGCCCTTGTTGTTCAATGTCAGGCTCTCCTTTTTCGTCTTGACATCCCAAACTGTCACAAAGCCGGAGCTGCTACCAGTGACCAGAATGTGAGGAACCTTCCTGTTCCAATCCAAGCAGTCGATATCATCTGTACGGGCCGCATTGTTGCCCAACCGGAATGGGTTCTCGATGTTGTTTAGATCCCAGATGAACAGCTATCCAGTAATTAGCCACACATTCAATCCGTAACCTGTAAATAGCAGCCTACCTCTCCCTTTGCGCCACCGGTTGCCAGAAGGTTCGGGTGTTTCGGGTTGAACTGAAGGGTCTTGATGGCGCCGCTGTGTTTAGTGGTTCTTGAAATCAATGCATCACTGAATTTGAACGATTAGCAAGATATACCAGGGAAATGGTCCATATGTAGAGCTCAACCAACCTGGATCCAGCAAGTAGCTTATCAGCATCCCACAACTCCAGTGAGCCATTCTCCAAGCCACCCGCAATCACACCCCGTTTGTTGTCTTCGGACGTTGTCCAGGCCACATCATTGAAGCTAATTGGGTTATTCGGTCAGCTTGCTTATCTTCACAGAAGTTCGCAAAAGACCAACTTACCCAGAGTCGGTATCGACCTTAGCTAGCGGCTGCAGCTCCTCACTCGCATCTTCGCGGTCAAGGCCCAGATCCCACAGCTCGAGGCATGTCTTGTTAGAGAAGTCGACATCGACAGCGCCAGCGCGGGTTCCAGTTGCGATCAATGGTGAGGCAGCGCCAGGCGACCAGGCGAACGTGGCCGTCCTTGGGATTTCCCTCAGACGCACCATGATGATGGCAGGGGAGGTATGGTTTGGTGAGGGTCGAAACCAATAGTTTTTGTGAAAGGAATGATCCAACGAACAATGAAACTCAAGCAATAGGGAAGGAGAGGAATCAAGAACCACCCCTTATGAATAATTGACAATGGGGTGATACTCTAGATGTTCCAAGTATAGCAGTAACCAAGTGGCCTCCTGGACTTGGAGGGACCGGGGAACGCACGCTAGACCGCTTTGAGACTCGCCAAAACACTCCGAGGTGAGCTGCACGTGATATCAATCTTCCGTTCTGGGCTGATAGCAAGATACAGCTTGGATTCAGAGTCTCGAACACAGAGGCTTTCTTTGTTGCTGTACACACTTTTATCCTCGCTTATTCTACTACTCTGTGCGATCTCGTCACGTCGCCACCCAACTCAAAGACCTAGCGAATTTGACCCGAAGCGCAACTACACATCATGAGCGAAACTACGCGGCTTAAGAGCACCATCTACGTGGGTGGTCTTGACCAGGGTGTGACCGCACACACACTTGCGGAAGCTTTCGTTCCATTTGGTGAAGTCGTCGATATCTCGCTGCCCAAACCGGACCAGCCCAACTCGGCTGAAGTTCACCGCGGATTTGGATATGTGGAATTTGATCTGCCGCAAGACGCCAAAGAGGCCATCGACAATATGGATGGTAGTGAGATCTACGGGCGCACCATTAAAGTCGCCGCTGCAAAGCCACAGAAGGATGCCAACGAGGGACTAGGCAGCAAGACTGCGATCTGGGAACAGGTTCGTTGGGTTCAATTTTATATCTGATCGTAATCTATACTAACCGCTATATTCTATAGGAGGGTTATTTGGCCAAGCATGCCGTCAGCGAGGAGGATCGGATAGCAGCGGAGGAAGCTCAGGCTGCAAGCAGTCGTCCCCAAGATCCTATGCAGGGATTGGAACAATTAGATGTTGCTGGGCCGAAGCCCGAGTGAAGCACGCTACACTTTACGATAGCTACGACGCAGATGACAAACAAAAGCATAAGTCTCACACGACAGTACAATTTCCCGATTACACCACAGGATTCAGGCTCGGGAAGCCGGAATATGTACACGGGCGCAATCTCGAACCCGTTCCTTTTTTGCTCCACTGGTTTTTCTCAAATCATGCCCATCGGCTTCAAATTCTCCTAATCAACAATACAAGCGGCAAGAATCCAAAAACTGCAGATCGCATTCTGAGAGCTTAAAGAAACATGGTGGTACATTTAGTGGTCATGGCTCTCGGGGCTGTTGCGGTAGAGACGCAGGGTCTTATCGGTCATCAGCTTCTTGCTGCCAGAGTAGACAGCAGCGCCAAGGGCGACACTGAAATTATAAGTTAGCGTTAGGTAAATATACAAGCTTGACTGCCAGTGAAGGGAGATAGGGGGATGAAATTCCGGCATGTGTCGGGCATGTGTTCCCGGAATCAAGCGGCAGATAGTATCAAACAGGGTAGAAACGTACGCAAGGACGAAGCCTAAATATCAAACAGACCGTTAGCTCAATTTCCGATCGCTAAGTCATGACTATAACACATACCGATAGGGAGCAGCTCGGGGGGCACACGCTTCAGCTGGCGCAGACGCTGAGAGATAGTGTGAGCTGTAGGTGCATGGTTAGTTCAATGGCAGTCCCCATAAAAGTAAGAGCCAATTCGACATGACTCTGTTGATCAACTGGATCTAGTGATCTCAGAGACTCATACCACTTTGTTGCTCCTTCTACAGACATGAGTTAGTAACCGAGGGATCGTATGATCACAAGATCATTACCGAAGGAAAGAACATACAGGAGTAGGGAATGCAAAGGCCCGGGTGGGCTGCATCCGCAGCATGCGAGTGGGATACATGTTGAGATCTGTGGTTCAACACTGGAGAAGCAGAAGAAGAGTGGGATAGAGGACGAGGTTGGAACACCAGCTTTCCGAGAACGTGACTGGCTCGGGTGTAAAAGCGAGACGCTCAGTGGCTCTCGCTTGACCGCCCGCGGTCATATCCGGCACTTCACAGCTTCAATCACCCAACGTCGCTCTTCCCGGCTCACTTTCTCCCCTCCTCTCTTTCCACACCACTCCAATTCTTCCTCTCGTGTGTTGTTTCTCTTGAAGCTACACATCGCAAATATGGGTGCCATTCCGGAAGCCGACCCCGATGAGGTCCTCGAGACCAAGCCCTTCAAGTTCGTCACTGGTAAGTCCACTAACCCCCTCCCGAGAAAACCGGGGCTAGGAACCCTATAGAGAGTCAATGGCTAATTTAAGCTAATTTCTTTACAGCTGGTACGTGAACCTTGATATTTTCCCTCTTCTATCGCTCATCGCAAGCGCGTGGGCCGATTTCCCCGATCGGCTGATGTATGGTGTAATTGACAATTTTCGATTGGATCGCAGGTTACGATGCTCGTTTCCCCCAGATGAACCAGTACGTGATAAGCTGTTATTTCGGTGTCCTTTTTACACTTATCTAACGTTGATTCCCTACGCAGGACCAAGCACTGCTGGCAGAACTATGTCGACTACTACAAGTGTACCACTGCCAAGGGCGAGGACTTCCGTCCCTGCAAGCAGGTAATTGCGGCAGCCGACAATACACTCAAATACCAGCAGTTTCTAACCGCTTCTCTCGCAGTTCTACCACTCCTTCCGCTCTCTTTGCCCCAAGGCCTGGACCGATCGTTGGGACGGTCAGCGCGGTAAGCATCTACAAGTCTTCTCAACATGTGTGTACTTATACTAACTTATGTTCACAGAGGCTGGCAACTTCCCTGTCCACCTCGACAAGTAGATAACCAACAGCGTCTTTTTGGTTGGTCAAGTGAGCCGTGTCAAATTTTTATGTATCGACAAGTTCCAATGTACTCTACTGGGTCACGCGAGGACACAACCCCTTCATTTCCTAAATCGTTCCGTCCGTATAAGGCAAGAAAGGGTGTTTATAAACGCGTCGTACTGTAAAGAGAAATGTATTGTTAGCTGGTGCTCGTTCTGACTCTTTTAAAGCAAGGGTACCCAGGTAGTCCCTACATCTTGCATCGGTAGACGCCTGCAATAATTGCGAACCATGTCTTGGAATTACAACTTATAATGTTGAGTATATATGTAAAAACCATGCCGTCCTTGCGGAAATGCTCTGAATGCGATTCAGTGTGTATGTATCTAATTCTATGTAATCCCAGCTCTGACAAGAAAAATACATAATCCAGCACACTGTACAAGACCACAAGGCCATGTTCTAGATATGCTCCAAGGCCGTCTCAGGCCATCCTTCGAATCTCCGATGAAAGAAACATCTGAAAGAATGCAAGCTATATACAAGCCAAAATGAAAATGGTGCGCGTGAGTGTCGAAGTGCAGCACCCAAGTGAAGAAAAAAATTTCAGAGAAAATGACAAGAAATCATATATACCGAGAATATGTCGGACAGAAGGCGTAAATGCTGTTGCAAGATTGGGAGTCTGCGGGAAAAAAAAAAGATGCACAAAAAGGAATGATCACTCTTTGTATCTTTAGATGCCCTTCAGCTTGCGGTATAACTTTTTGTGCTCCTCAAGGAAGAGGAAAGTGGCGATAGTATGGGGACCAAGACGGATGAAGCTAGGCACCCAGCCACGGAAAGTCCATCCAAGGCCTTCCTTGCGGCAGATATCACGCAGAAGACCAACGATGGTATGACCACCGCCATCGGCATGAGAAGCCGTCATAATACGAGTCTTGATCACGTCCACAGGGCTGCAGACAGTGGTAGCAACGAAACCCGCCATGAACGAGGCCGTGAAGTGTGTGGCCAGATTATCAGCCATGCCGGCCTTCTCAATACACATGCGCTTAAAGGTATCGTAAGAAGCGAGCTGCGAGGCAGTCATGAGGATTGCGCGAGTGGAGTTAGGCCACACTCCGCGGAAGAGAGAACTGAATCCCTCTGTCCGGGTCATCTGCACCAGCCCGTGGATTGCGTTTCGGTAGTTGCGGCGCTGGGCGGGAGGGAGGGATGCGTCGTGTTGCATGCGGACGTTCATCACGTCAGCTGGGTTGCCTGCTATGCCGCCGATGAATCCGGAGGCAGAAGCAATGCCGATGAGAGTGACCATGCTTGGTGCGCCGGCGGGGTCTGAGGTGGGCGAGGCAATGCGCGACTTCAATTCTTCGTAGATACCGAAGCGCGTCGTGGAGTATGTGATTTGACGTAGCATCGCGGCTGACAACTATACCGTATCCAATTCGTCTTTTGTTAGCCAACTTGTGCCCGTTTACTGATAGCCATGGGGTATTCGCTATCGAGTGGATAGTGGATTTGGGGATAGCACATACGCCACTGTATAACCCGGTGACACCATTATTCTTCACGATGTGTACGAACGTTCCGACCATAGTCTTCGGCGCATCGGGAGCACGAGTCTGTAACCGGACCTATTATGCGACAAACAGATATCAGCGTCGGGGCTCGGTATCGTGGCCATAAGCCATAGTAGTCTCGGACGGCTAGGAGCTTGCAGGTACCTTAACTGTAGGCACAAAGTCAGCATATAGTATATAATTGAGGGAAGATATAAGAAACATACCTAAATCTAACGGGTGCGTCACAGACGCAGCAAAGCATGAGGCCGAACCTCCAAACCAAAACGGGTAATGCACCTTCTTCGGCTTTGACTGGGGCGTCTGAACGGGCACGACCCGGGAGTGAGGAGAAGCCTCCAACATCTTGCCGCTGTCTGCCATCTTGCTGGATAACAAGATCCCCTTAAAGTATACACAGTTAAAAAAAAGGCGGGGAGAATGGTTCACAAAATCCTTTTTTTTTTTACTGGACTTTTCTCGGCTTTTACGAACGTGACTTGACGTAATTTTGGGGCCTTTGAATACCAACGGAGACAAATCAGATCTCCGAAATCACTCGGCCAGCCGCCGAACGGAGAGGAACAGCCAATCAGGTCAACTACCTTGATAGGGGGCCGCCACTTTTATCCAATCAGTTCCTCGGTTTTGCGGTCTTTCTTTTTGCGGAGATAAATCTCTTGTATGGAACATACAGATCTGGCTCAAAGACCCCTCAGGAACCCTGAATAGCGACCTGCTTCGGTCGTTGAAGTAGATGCCGAGGGGATCTTTACGCATACAGGCGATATAATAATCACTTCAATAGAGCTGATATGACAAGATCGGCTATGCAGATCTTCGGAGTTTTTACGGACATTGGACGGTTGGCGTCGGTCTACCGAGGGGTTCTGCAGGAGGGGCAAGATATCATATGCATAAAGGCTACCTGGGGAGATATGCCCAATAGTTAGGAATGATGTAATCGGGGTATAAAAGGTATAAAGGTATCAAATATCTTAATGACTGGAATTAGCGCTACCCTAGTTCGATCTATTGTTTTGCAGGTGCTTTCTCGGCGCAAATGGGATGATATTTGTATTCAAGCGTTATCGCGCTTGAAAATTGAAAAGTAAAGAGCTGAAATAGGATGTAATATCAGCCAAACTACTAGTTGTTATCCTCAAACATGTATATATATCAAAAGAGATATATAATTTATACGAGTCATGTAAACTGCCCAGTACACAGAACCTTCAATTCATACATATACAAGTTAAAATGGCTTTAGACACCAGCCGTAGCAACCATAGAGAGAAAACCAAGCATATTCAAATCATAAGTCTCTCTCCTCTAGAGGTAAATGCTGAAGCTTTTTCTATAACTTTCGTTACGCTGGACAAATGTACTTCGGGGACTAATTTCCCCGACCCGAACATGTGTTGATAGCGTCGATAGACAACATTGAATTCTCACAATGTCCAACCCAACAATGAGGCTATTCGCTACCGGTCGAGCCCTGCGTGCAAGCAGTGGCCGTTGGTCAATTGCCTCAATCCGACCCCAAACCACCATTCCGCGCTCCCTCCGACCGACTCCCATCTTCTCCCGCAACCGCGAATGGAGCTCAACCACAGCTCGCTGGAGTGAACAAAAAGCACCCGCTACCTCCAAACCCCCCCAGCAACCATCGACCCTCAAACTCGAAGGAGAGACCTACCCAACCGACGAATGGACCAACACTCCCAATACAATCCTATCCCATATCGGACGCCGACTCTACCTCGACGAGAACCACCCTCTCGCCATTACACGCAAACTCATCGAAAGCCAATTCACATCCCCAAGCTTTGGAAACTACTCAGAGAAGAACCCGGTCGTTTCAACAAGGCAAAATTTCGATGTCCTCGGCTTCCCCGCGGATCATCCGGGCCGCAGCCGCACAGATACCTACTACGTGAACGACAAGACAGTGCTGCGCACCCACACCAGCGCCCACCAGCAAGCATATTTCCAGCAAATCGCCCGCAACGAGAAAACCCATCCAGAGGAGGTCGGATACACCGTCGTCGCTGATGTCTACCGTCGCGACGCAATCGACCGCAGCCACTACCCCGTCTTCCACCAGATGGAGGGCGCGATGCTATGGAAGCGACCCTCGACGAACCCACTCGCCGCCTCGGCCGAGACAGCAGCAATGATCATGGCTGATGTAGAGAAAATCCCGCGCCACGACGTCGTCGTCGAGGACCCGAACCCGACTATCCACGCCCAGCGGAACCCGCTGCAGGATAAACACCACAGCGCCGAGGAAGTTGAGGCCGTGGCCACCCATCTGAAGCGTTCACTCGAGCGGATGGTTATCAAGATCTTCACGGAAGCGAGCAAGGCCGCTGCGGCGAGTAGCGGTGGCGAGGAGCAGGAGCCTCTCAAGGTTCGCTGGATCGAGGGGTCCTTCCCGTTCACCAGCCCCAGCTGGGAACTGGAGGTGTTTTGGAAGGATGAGTGGCTGGAGATCCTGGGATGCGGAATTATCAAGCAGGATCTATTGATCAACTCTGATGTACCGGATCGGATTGGTTGGGCGTTTGGACTGGGTCTTGAGCGGATTGCTATGCTTCTTTTCAATATTCCCGATATCCGACTCTTCTGGTCGCAGGATGAGCGGTTCCTGTCGCAGTTCCGGGCTGGCCATATTGCTCGCTTCGAGCCTTTCTCGAAACACCCGGCTTGCTACAAGGATGTTGCTTTCTGGTTGCCTCCTTCGGCTGTGACGGGTGGTAACAGTGCTGCTGGTGGGGGTGTGCCTTTCCATGAGAATGATGTTATGGAGATAGTTCGTGGGATTGGTGGGGATCTTGTTGAAGATGTTACTCTTATTGATGAGTTTACACACCCTAAGAGTGCACGGAAGAGTATGTGCTACCGCATTAACTACCGGAGCTTGGAGCGGACTTTGACGAATGAGGAGAGTAATGAGTTGCATCTGAAGGTTCGGGAGAAGCTGGTTGGAGAGCTTGGTGTTGAGCTGAGGTGAGGCTGGAGAGTGTTGGGTTATACTTTGTACTATACTGTGATTATTATGGAGAATATGTAAGATATAGCATTCCTCTCATTAAGCCATGATCGACATATGGATTTCATTAAGCTAGAGTCCCAAAAGATATAGATTATAGCTAGCTTTGGTTTTGATTAGAGTCATAAGTTAGGGTTACCAAACGCGGAAGGAGAATGAAGACACCAGAGGCTATGACAGTGCCCCGAAGAAGTGTATATTATACAGTGAGGAGGAGAGAGTTATCAGGGGACATAGGGGTACAGACGTCACAACACAAGTGAAAACGCACCACCAACATGAGACAATCCGTACGCCTCCAGATACATGCAACAAGGGTGTGTATCATACAGCCGAATCCAAGAGACGAGCAGAAAGATAGCAAGGAAGAGTAATTTTCCGGGGTCCAAAAGCCAGCCGTATCCTAGCATAAAACCCTATCGTGATCATGATGTATGACATATGGTACAGAGGAAGTAAATAAAAAGTGAAAATGCGGAAATGGATCCAAGAAGGTCGAAGGATTAAGAATCGAAGTTATCGTCGATGATTTAAGCGTTCTTGACGACACCGACCTTAGCAGCCTATATGAGAGAAGAAAGCAGTTAGTCACAATACTCTAGAACGTGTGGTTTTAGTAGGTAGAACTCACCCGCAGAACGCGGCCGTTAAGACGGAAGCCCTTGCTCTGGACGTGCATAATATCACCGTCCTCGAGACCAGCAGCCGGGGCCATGAAGGTGGCTTCGTGCAAGTTAGCGTCAAACTTCTGGGCCTTGCCATCAACCTTCTCGGCGGGATCGAAGCGCTCGAGACCGTGCTTCTGGAGGGTGTTGAGGAGGATTGACTGGGTCATGTTGAGA